GGGGGGGGGGAGGACCGCTGGGCGCCTCCAACATTGGAGGTTGCGGCGGCCTTCCATGGCGCACGTCCGCACCCTGCTGGTGGCAGATGGAATCGCTGCTTTCACCTCTCCGGAGAACAGCAGATGAGCATTTCCCGCCTTCCTGAGGGGCAGCTGCTTAGTAAAACCACGGGGCAGACCGATTTTTGGTGTGTGTTTGTGTGTGTGTGTGTGTGTGTGTGTGAATTTTCTTTTTAGTACTAGAGATTGAACCCAGGTGCTTCACACTGAGCTACATCCCAGTCCTTTTTAAAAATTTTTTGAGACAAGGTCTCCCTACGTCTCTTAAATTGTCCGGGCTGGGCTCTCAACAGTCCTCCTGCCTCAGCCTCCCAGAGTACAGGGATCACAGGTGTTCAGCTGCAGACTGACTTAAGCAGATGGCTTCCTCCAGGAAAGCAAGCTCGGTGCAGCCAGTAGTGTAGGATAATGCTTCATCAAGGTGTTTTTTAACTGTTGAGGAATTGGTGAGTAACACTGCCACTTCAGTGTTCTAGCAGCAAGATTTTGAGAAAACTGCTGTTTCGTGTGGGCAGAGATGACGCCTTCATGACTCTCATACTTTCCCAGGAAATGCCAGCGAGTCGGAGGAGGACCCCGGGGCGGGAAGCGTTGAGACCCAGGCCATCCCCAGCACCCACCGGGTGACTGACTCCAAGTTCCACACCCTGCACACGAAGATGGACGTCATCAGGAAAGGCCACGCCAAGGACAGCCAGCGCTACAAAGTCGACTATGAGTCCCAGAGCACGGACACCCAGAACTTCTCCTCCGAGTCTAAAAGGGAGACAGAATATGTGAGAACCTTTGTTTTTGTTCAGGGGTGCAGTGGGGAGAGCCACCATGAACCACGACCCGGACTGCACATAGTGGTCCTGTCGCCCCACCTGCCGCCCTCCCCTCCTCCCATAAAAGACAGTGACCCTGTCCCGTCCCATCCCGTCCCGGAGACTGAGAGGTTCAAGCTAAGCCAGTGCTTGCAAAATACAGTGTGCTCCAAAGTCTGGTGTACCCCAAATTACAGTGTGCCCCAAAGTACAGCCACTGTGGCCACAGAGAGAGCTACTCACAACCACACTTCCACTTTTCCCCTGGGCCTTCGGAGTTCGCCTCCCTCTGTCTGACTCAGGATAAGGAGGCACAGCATCCTCCCCGCTAACTCGGGGCGGAAACCCTGGAACAGATCCAGGCCAGCTTGGCGGATTGCCGTGTGCATGCCGTGCGGTAGGCTTTCAGAGTGGTAACCATACCCTGTGGCCCCTGCTTGCTGCCCTGCAGGGCCCCTGCCGGAGAGAGATGGAAGACACACTCAACCACCTGAAGTTCCTCAATGTGCTGAGTCCCCGGGGCGTCCACATCCCAAACTGTGACAAGAAGGGCTTCTACAAGAAGAAGCAGGTGAGTGGCAAGTGAGGTCCTCCACGGTGTCCCCGTTCTGTTCCCACCCCAGCCACTGGCTCAAGGGAGAAATTGCTTCTCGCTGACCCCAGGCTCCAGCCGAGTCCCTGGAGCCCCTGTGCTGTGACTCCGTTTCAGTCTCGGGATGAGACCGATGCTCGCTCACATGTGTCCCAAGGCCCAGCCACAGTGCCTCTGCCAGGCCTTTCAGCTGCTCACGGCAGAAGGACACATTTGCCAGGCTCAGGCTTCCCAAGTAGCTCAGTGAGGACGGAAGGGCCCAGCAGATCCCCCCTCACCGTGCCTCTCCCACAGTGATGGTGGTTTGAGATGTCGCTAAGCCGCGGTCTGGGCTGTGGATTCAGGTGGCCATGCTCTGGCTGGCTTCCTGACAGGACAGTTCATGCCCTTCCCGTAGTGTGGCCATGGCCTTGGTCATAATGCCCAGGCCTCCTTCCACAGCCACGTGGCTGGACTGTGGTTCACATCAGCATTTTCTACCAGTCTCCTGGTTGACAGCTTCCGGCTGAGAGGGGGCAGGGTGTCCTGAGGTCCCCAGCTGAGGCAGACCCTGTTCATCCCCTCCTGGAGAGTGTATTGCACATGCGTGCAGACACAGGTACACACGTGTGCGCAGATGGATGCACACAGACCCACACACTGCCCCTCCACACGGTGGTGCTTCGGGGACCCTGGGCAAAGTTTCTGTGGTACCCGGGACCCTCACGGCTTGGTCCTCTGTGTCCCTCAGTGCCGCCCCTCCAAAGGCAGAAAGCGAGGCTTCTGCTGGTGCGTGGACAAGTATGGGCAGCCCCTTCCGGGCTACGACTCCAAGGGCAAGGAGGACGTGCACTGCCTGAGCATGCACAGCCAGTAGACCTGCTGACCACGTAAGCAGCTGGGCTGAGGGCTGGGGGTGGGGGTGGGGGTGGGATACCCAGGCCAACTGTGCCTGCGGCCCCTCCTCAGCCTCAGGGCCCAGAGACGGGGCAGAAGCCACCAGCAGCCTGTCTGACAGGCTCGGGAGAGCCACATCCATTGCTGTATTCTAAATGATTCCCACCATGTGGGCTCTTACACACGCGCGCACACACATGGCGCAGAGCATTTTCAGAGTGAAGCTCTCTCCACAGAAGTCAGTGTGTCCGTGGAAGTCAGTCTGGTGGTTCCCGGACTCCACAGGAAATCGCTGTCATTTACAAGAACTCACTAACAACTCTTGTTTCCAAGTTAAAACTACAACTTTAATTCTTCTGAAAAATAGACCCTGGCTATTCCTTTAGCTTGTGGTTCCTTTAATGTTAGAGAGAGTATTTAAATATAATATGAAAATGGACCACCCTTTTGAAGAATGCAGCCATAGTCTTTTTTTCTTGTAATAAATGAGGAAATTATTGGGGGATAAAAAAGAAGAAATATATTTCCATGCATCTCCTGAAGACACTTAGGAAGCAGAAGAAATTTTCATTTTTAGAAGATTCTTTTCCTCACAAGTTAGGGAAAATAGTTTTAATTTTAGGGTAGCCTTTTAACAATAAACACTTAGCTTTGATTTATCATGTTTTTAACTCTTGGGAAGATACCTAGGAGGAGAGCAGCTGGATCAAATGGAAGTTCTGTTTATAACAGTATGATTTATAATAGCCAAATTTTGGGAACAGCCTATATATCTATCAGCAGATGAATGGGTAAAGAAAATGTGGTATTATACATAATGGAGTACTACTCTGCCATAAAGAATAAACTTGAGTCATTCATAGGCAAATGGATGCACCTTGAGACCATAATATTTAGTGAAATTAACCAGACACACAATAAGCTTCAATATCCCATGATTTCTATGAGAAACCCAAAATATAAATAAAAGATAGCTAATAGAAAATAGGAAGATACTTTTCAAATGGGAAGGGGATCAAGAGATGAAGGGAAGAGAGGGAAAGGGGATGGAAAGAAGAATGAAGATGTGTTCTCTACATGGACCAACTCTACTACGCAGGGGGGTATAATCACTGTGGACTACCAATAAGAAATAAAAACGGGGAGAAAAAGGTAGAGAGCCCAGCCCAGCACTAGGGCAGAAGTTGAACTCTTCATTTTCTGGGTGGTTATTTCAATGTTTTTCTTTTCTTTTTGTTCTAGCTAATGTGGAGCTCAAATACGCCTTATTTTGCACAAAAGACTGCCAAGGACATGCTCAGCAGCTGGCTACAGCCTCGATTTATATTTCTTTTTGTGGTGAACTGATTTTTTAAAAAAACCAAAGTTTAGACAGATTTTTGAAATCCCTATGGTTCCTTTAAGTGGTAAACTTGAGATCTTTCCAGTAATTAGCGAAAAGCAGTTCGAATTTTCTAGTTGCTACCTGTAAACCTCGCTCCACGGACGGCTCCCCTCCCAGGCCCTCATCCGCTAAGGGGACAACCCGACCCAGCCCGACCCTCCCACCTCGAGACGTCAGCAAATGAGCTTCTCCCCCACCCTCTGTAAAATGAGCACAGGCCTAGGAGAATAGGAAAAGCCTCAACTCCAGTCACCTGGACGTCCTGACACCGCCTGCCAACATAACCCGAGGGGGACCTCTTCGAATCAGGAGCCTGGGTCTCGACCATAAAGACTGTCCATCATCTGGAGATGACCTAATCTACTTTGGAAACTACTGGAGAGATTAAGATGCAGTCTTAACAGCAGGATGCCCAGGAACCTGTCGGCAGGTGTGGGTGACCCTGCATCTGGGGTCCTCCTCATGACAGCCCCTTTGGAAGGCTGGGTGGCTGGGGTCACCTAGGCCTTGGTCCCACGGGGCAGGAGAGGCAGGGGCAGCAATCAGCCTTGGCGTTGAGAGGCCTTTTGAGCAACGATTCTTCAGATGACTGCAGAAAGTAGTGTTTTCTAGTTCAACTCCTCAAAACAAGATTTTTGAGGTTAAGCTCTTTAAAGCAAAATTTTATTTTCATCTCTTACCTGTATCCTGCTTTGCACAATGTAAAAGAAAAAACAAAAATCTAAACAGGAAAGATGACCAGCTTGCTGGGAGCCTGTCGAGGACACTGGGACACTTAGAGATCTCTGACCTGTGTTGGTTGAACTTGGAATTCTTCTCACACACACTCCTTACCACTCATACATATATACGGAGATGTGTTCTTAATTAATTGTTAACAGTGTATACCACATAGCCCAAATATAATAGGATCTACACTAGATAATCCTAGAGAAAATGGTAGAGATGCTAGATGATATAACCAACCGTGGCCGTGACCGAGGAAAGGAGCTCATGCCGTTGCCACCCGTGGTCCCCAAGGCCAGGCCTGAGGTCCCAGGGTGGACCCACTGCGTGGAGCTCCCTTGATAACTACAAGGGCTCTCGAGATGTTCTGCCTACCTATTTTTTTAAGTTTTTGGGGAAAAAAAGTATTTTTGAAAAGTTTGTCTTGCAATGTATTTATAAATAGTAAATAAAGTTTTTACCATTAAAAGAAGAACGTCTTTCCCAGTGTTACTCCCTGCCTCTGGGTCTTGTGTCTCTAAGGAATAATTCAAAGAGGGTACCAAACGTGGTCAGGGTAGGAAACTTCATAAACATGTTCATGTCTCCGTGGCTAGCAAAAGGACCCCAGCAGACCCTTCTGGTGGCCTTTGTTGGCATCCACTAGCGGAGGTTTGTAATACTGGAAATTAAACCCAGACAGCCTACACACTGAGCTGCAATCACAGCCATTTTTTAAAAATATTTTTATTTGAGACAAGAGCTCACTAAGTTGGTGAACTGTCCAGGCTGGGCTTACAGGGCTGTGCCAGTAGATCTGGCCACAGCAGAAGCACATTCAGTTGGGGTTATTTGCTAGCTGTCATGGTGTGGGGAGGTCATGTCCCTCACGTGTGGCCCTCAGCTCTGGGGCTCACGCTCCGTGTTGTGGAGGGGACACGCCCATCCCCACACCCTATCCTGTAGCCCTCCTGCCCCTGTCCACCTGCCAAGGAGCACAGAAGCAGGAAGAGGGGACCCCAGGAGACTCTGGGTGGGATTCTGGGGCCTGGGCCCCCTCTCTACAGCCTTGGGACAGTTGTCCCTTGTCACAGAACTGCTTCAGGCAAGGCATGGGGCCCATGGCTTCAGGGAGTCACTTCCTGTGTGAGCCACATCTGAGCCATCAATGACACTTCTGAAATGGTTCCAGGATCACAGCGAGGTGCTCAGGGGTCTGAGGGTGTGGTTTGTGGCCACAGGGCTCACCATGGGGACAGATGGAGAAGTGACAGGCAGACCCATGGGTTGCCACTCGCCAAGGTGTGGGTGAGGGCACTGTTGAGGTGGGGGAGGCTCAGAGGCCATGGGTGGCTTGCTTTCCAAGAAGCCAACAACTCGTATGTTTCCTTGTCCTCACCCTCACCTCTAATCTCTGCCACTTTCCACACTTGCAATGGTCAACTCTGTGTGCCCACAGGCTGGGTCATGGGGTACTGGCAGATGGTGGGACGTCTTAGCCTGGATACATGTGTGAACCGTTCTTCCTGGTGAGTCTTCTCTGATCAGTGACTAGATTCATAGATGGATTGATTGATAAATGATAGAGATGATAGATGACTGACTGATAGACATGGATTGATGTATAAAGATGATTGATAGATGAAATGAGTGGGTGAGTGGATGGATCGGTGGGTGGATGGATGGACATAACCTATGAGTTCTGTTTCTCTGGAAAACTCTAATACAACACTTTGATCACGTCTTCTGCACACCCCCTGCCATTTCTAGGAAGTATATTATGCAATCCCACCACACTGTCAGGAGGGCTCCCATTTCTCCACATCCTTGCCAAAACATTCTGTGTTTGAAGTTCTTGGTTCTAGCCAAGTGAGGTTGTGTCTCATTGCGGTTTTGATTTGTCCTCATCTGTCACAAATGCTGCCAAGCATCTTTTCATATGCTCTGAGCTATTTATGCAGGTGCTTTGAAGAAATGTTGATGCAGATCCTTTATCCATTTTTAATTGGTTCACTTGTCCTTTTTTTTTTGAGCTATAAGAGTTCCTTGTATATTGTAGATACCAGTATCTTACTGGATATATGATTTGCAAATATTTCCTCCCACTTCGGTGGGTTGTCTTTTCACTTGCCCAATAGTATCTTTCTAATCATACATTTTTTAAAATTTTGTGGAAGTTCAATTTATCTGTACATTAATGCTTACATATAATGGGATCTACATAAGGGCTAGCTATAAGGAACCGTGTTTTCTATTTTTATTATAAATTCTTTTCACCACATAAAAATATTGTAACTAAAATCAATATTTTTCTTGGTTCTCTTTTTTTTTTTTTCAGTACCAGAGATGGAACTCGGGTCCTTGCACTTGTGCAGCAGGTGGTGAAACCACTGAGCTAAATCCCAGGCCCTCTAAAATCAATTTTTATAATGTGAAGGGAGGGAGAGAAGTGAGGATGAAGGGCAAGGAGGAGGCATCGCCTGTCAAACCTGTGCCCACAACCAAAGCCAGGATCCAGGTGGTTTTCAGCCCGTTCCTTCTTCGCTTCACAACCAACGTGACACCACCGGCAGCGCATACAGTGCTCATGGATCTTAGCATCCCATCTTAGGGTTCCGTTTCCTTGCATATTATCGGGTATGATCTAGTATTTTGTTGAGGATTTTTCATTTACATTCATGAAAGATATGATCTGCAGTTTTCATCTTTTAATGTCTTTATGTGGTTTTGACATAGGATAATGCTGGCATCATAAAATGAGTTAGGAAGTGTATTACTCTAATTATTTTAAGAAAAAGATCCAGAATTGGTATCATCTCTCTTAAATATTTATAAAATTCACCAATAAACCCATCTGGGCTTGGGGGTTTATTTCTGGAAGGCTTTTTACTATCAATTTAATTTTCAATAGATATTACCTCTATTCAAATATTTATTTCTCCTCCAGTGAAATTTAGTGGCTTCAAGAAATTAGTTCATTGTGCCTAAATTATCGAGTTCATGGGTGTACAATTTTAGAGTGTTCCTTTGTTATTCTTTTAATGTCCATAGGACCAGCAGTGATGGACCCTCGTTTGTTTCTAGTATAGATAAATTGTGCTTTCTCTTTTTCTTGGTTGGTATAACTACAAGTTCATTAATTTTATTAAACTTTTCAAAGAACCAGACATGGTTTGTTGGATTTTTTTTCCATTATTTTCTTGGTTTTCACTTCACTAGTGTTTGCTTTATTATTCCATTTTAGGCATGCTTTCAGCTTAAATGGTTCTTCATTCTCTAGTCTCTTAAAGCAGAAGTTTAAATGACTGATTCTAGAAAACCCTTGTGACCTACTATACATATTTAATGTGACAAGTATTCCTCTAACCATTGTTTTAGTTGCATCCCATGAATCTTGATAAATTTTATTTTAATCTTCATTTAGCTAAAAATACATTTTAATTTCTCTTAAGCTTCTTTCTTACATCATGTGTTATTTAAAACTATGTTGTTTAATCTCTAAATAATTTGTGATTTTCTAGCTAACTATATTGTATTCTAGTTTGCTAATTTAACTTGTGGTATAAGAACAGATTCTATATAATTTTTATTCTTTTGAACTTATCAAGGTGTGTTTTGTGAAGAAAGTGTATTCTGCTATTCTTTGGTGAATTAATCTACAGATATCAATTGTATTCCATTGGTTGATGATGCTATTGAATTCAAGTCTGTCATTCCTGAATTTATACCTGCTGAATCTGTCTACTTCTGGGAAGAAGGGTTGAAACCTCTAACATTGATAGTAGATTCATCTATTTCTTCATGAAGTTCTGCCTAATTTTATCTTGTGTATTTGAGGCTTTGTTGTTAGATGCATCATATTAAGGACTGTTAGATCCTTCTGCATAATTGGCCCTTGTTTCATTGTGTAGTGTCCTCCTTTCTCACTGATAATGTTCCTTGTTCTGAAATTTTATTTGAAACTAATGTGTGTACTCTTGCTTTTCAAGTGTCAGAATGGTATCTATTTCTCCATCTGTGTGTGTGTGTTTGTGTGTGTGTGTGTGTGTGTGTGTGTGTGTGTGTGTGTACAGTGCTGGGGATTGAGCCCAGGGCCTCATGCACATGAAGCACCCACTCTACCACTGAGCTACACACCCAGTCCCCATCCAGCTTTTTCCTGTAATATATCTGAATTGTTATATTTAAAATAATTCTTACAGACGACATGTAGTTTGCTCTTCTTTTCAGGCACTCTGTCTCTTAGCTGGCACCTTTAGACCATTCCCATTTAAAGTGATTCTGGATCCACCGTGTTTATAAATGTTTTTAGTTCCCTGCATTATTCTCTGTTTCCTTCTCCCTGCTTTTCTGCCTTCTCTGGTTTTCATTGAGGGTGTTGTGTGATTTCATTTTCTGACCTCTCTGGCGTATCATTATACTCATTTTGTTGGTTAATGTTATGTGTCAAACTGGCTACACCACAATGCCCAAACATGTAGTGAAACATTATTGTGAATGTTTCTGTGGAAGTGTTTTTGGATGAGGTTAACATTTAAATCAATGGGGTTTGTGCAAGACTAATTGCCCTCCATAATTTAGGTTGGTGCCATCTAATCAGCTGAAGGCCTGACCAGAGCAAAAGACTGGGCTCCTCCAAGCAAGAGAAAATCTGCAGCAGGCGCCTTTGGACTGAAATGCAGCTCTGCTCCCTGCTGGGTCCCCATCCTGCCAGCCCACCCTGCAGATTTTGGGCCTCTCAACCTCCAGAGTGGGATGAGCCAAGTCTGCAAAGTATATTTCTGTATACACAGGTCACATCGGTGTGTTCCTTTAGAGAACTGTAGTTCCAGGACTGGTTATGGAGGCTCTGAATGGTGAGGATGAGTTTTCTGAATGGTTTTGGGGTCTCTGGACTTGGCCATCTAGTTTGATCAGATTTTAAAACATCACTAACTCTATTTCCAGTAATGAAGAGAATGCTAATAGTCTGTGATATGAGAGATTCACAAAATATCATCATTGGAAATTCCTGATCCAATACAATAAGAAGCCAGGATCTAGGTGACCATATCTAGGATGTTTTTGAATGTTTTTGTCAAACTGATTAGCACAGTGACACTGGCTGGTGGCCCTTAATGAAGATGAATAAAGTGAGGAAAGAGAAGGATGACTCGGGCCTTCAAATTTCCCAGCTTGAGCACCATGTAAATGGTTCCAAAACTTCCACATTTACCTGAGGAGGCCCTGGCCTCCTGTCACAGCAGGACTGAGATTGCTAAAAATCAAAGCCAATAAAGAACTTAAAAAGATCAGACCTCCCAAATTTAAAGACCCAATCCAAAAATGGGCATCTGAAATGAACAGACATTTCTCAGACAAAGAAGTAGAAATAGCAAATAAATACATGAAAAAATGTTCAACATCACTGGTCATTCAAGAGATGCAAATGAAAACAATGCTGAAATTCCACTTCACTCCAGAAAGAATGGCTGCTATCATGAAATCAACCAATAACAAATGCTGGCGGGGCTGTGGGGAAAGAGGAACCCTGTTCCCTGCTGGTGGGAGTGTAGACTGGTGCAACCACTGTGGAAATCAGTATGGAGATACCTCAAAGAACTAGGACTGGAAGTCCCATTTGACCCCGCTATTCCACTGCTGGGGATCTTCCCCAAAGAATTAAAAGAATCATACCACAGTGATATATGTGCACCCATGTTCATAGCAGCACAGTTTGTGATAGCTAAAACTTGGAAACAGCCCAAATGCCCACCAACTGGAGACTGGATAAAGAAAATTTGTTTTTTTATATAAAATGGAGTACTACTCAGCCATAAAAAATGATAAATTAGATACATTTATAGCTAAGTGGATGCACATTGAGGAGATACTCTTAAGTGAAATAAATAGGACACACATGAATAAATTCTGAATAGTTTCTCTGGTGTGAGAAACTGAAAGTGTAAATAAGGACTAAATGTATAATAGGTAATGTGAAATAGGAAGAAAAGGGGCAAAGGGGAAGGAAGTGGGAGGGCTAGGGAAAAGGATAGAAGGGAATGGGATTAATATGAGAAAATGGAAAAACAGGAACAAAATCTTTGTAAATAGGAATGGAGGGGTTGAAGGGAGGGCTAGGCAAGGGTGAAAAATAAGAACCAAGAGAGACTATGTAAAGGTGCAAATTTCCAATGATGAATGTCACTATATTGTATACCTAAAATGTACCAGTGATTAGAATGAATAATCGATAATGCAAAATAGGAAGAAAAGGTCCAGAGGGGTAGGGGTAGTGGGAGGGGCAGGGGAAAGGAAAGAAGGGAAAGGAAAAATTATGAGAAATGGAAAAAATGGAAATAAAGTCTTTGTAAATAGGGAAGGGTAGAGGGCATGAAGGGAGGGCTAGGAATGGGGAAAAAATAAGAACCAAGATGCATTATGTAAAGGTACAATTCCCAATGAGAAATGTAAATGTGTTGTATACCTACAATGTACCAATAAAAGAATTTAATAAAAAATTAATAAAATAAAATAAAATAAAATATATGATGGGCATCATTCCAAAAGAAAAAAAAAAACCAAAGCCAGATTCTCACCCTGCAAATGCATGATCTGGGTCACAAAGTGGACTCCAGCATCCTCTTCAATGACACATGGACTGGGAAGGAACGGGGTCTTGAAAGTTAGAACGAGATATGAGGTAGGATCCTTATGAAGCAGGAGAACCTGGGCCCAGAAGTTATGCTGAGACTTCTTTTCCAGTAGAGGCAGCCTCTCCATCCCAGCAGAACCAATATCTTGACCTCTGGCTGAGAAAATTAATGCTGCCTGGTCTGAGGAAACCCTACTGACCTTCCCTGAGACAGGCATCATGCAAGATGCCACCACCATGGCCACCCTCCCTCTTAGACCTATAACCAGACAAGTCCAGCAGCCCCAAATGTGAGGTGCAACATGGCCCACAAGGCAGTGTGCTGCACCCCTAAAAGTCTTCTCAAGTTTTCTAATTTACACAGACACAACTCCAGAAAACATGGGCAAGAATGAGTCCTCTGAGAGACAATGGCCAAAGAAAAAGAGTTGGATCAGGCTGAGTTTACAGAGAGGGGCTGACTAAACAGAGGTTTGCTTTCCACGTTACACAGTGGGCACTTGACAAGTGGCTGCACGTGGCCCAGAAGGTGGAGCGTGGGAAGTGAATTCAAAGTCCAAGAGGCAAGCGTGGACCCCAGCCTGGCCCCGACCCCACTGGGAAGGGAGATCCACTCTCAGAAACCACTACCTGTCACCAAGATGGGAACTGTAGAAGCAGGTGAGGGTGAAACGCAAAGGGATTTCAGAAACAAACATGATACATTTCAATCAATGGCCACCTGGCAGTGTTTATTCCAAATGTTTCCACTAGACTGTGTTGTGTCTAACAATGTGTCTCATGTGGCAATTTACATAGCTTCAGCTAGCACTGATTACATAAGCAACATTTTAACTTTTTAACTTTCCCTGCCAATTTCCAGAGTAAATCATTCTTAAATATAGATTCATTGCCCCTGAAATCTCTTGAAAAATCACTGCCTTACATTTCCTTGTGCATTTTCTGGGCAGTATCAATCTGTACTCTTGAAAAACATAAAGAGTTTACAAGTATTTACACATAAGGTGATAAAAAGTGTTTTGTGGTGTATAAATTACTATAGCACAAGTTAGAAAAAAATAAACTTACAGTGAATAAATATAAACCAGTTTTATATATCAAGTCATGTGTGGAGTATAAAAACTAGTTCCTGTATATATACATATGCGCATATATAAAAATGTGTGTGATCTAGAGTATAAATATACTATATACTTAAATATTTCATGTGAAAGAACATACAGTGCATCATGTTCAGTTTGGTACAGTAAAATACTGCTGGCAGTTGGGGTCCCCTCGGGTCTCCAGAGAGCCAGGGATCTTCTCCCCACTCCAGGGGTAGACGCACCAGCACAGCCCTGCTTCTCCATCCAGGGACGTCTCACACTGTGAAGAGAGGACCATGGTCAAAGCAGCAGAGGAGGAAGCTGCAGCTGTGGTGAGGGCTGGGAGTCAGCGACCCCAACACCCTCTGGTCCCCATCATGAAGTGGAGACAGCAAGCGAGTGGCCCATGGCCGTGTGCAGTGGTACGGCGTGTGGTAGCTGTCTGCTGCAGGACCCTGAGTGTAAACCACTGTCCCCATCGGTGGTAAAGTGGTGCCCAGACCTCAGTTTCCCCCAATAAAATCCTCAGGGTCTAGGCTTCTCTGGGTCCGAAAGGCTCCTCAAAGTTAAATCCTGGGCTAGTTCATTCTTGTTTTTTCTTTGACGAGTCACAAAAATGCTACTGCCTTTTCTTGTAGTAAGAGATGTGCAAAGAGACCCTTGCTCTCCCAAATTGGATTAATGGGGTGGGGGCCTGAGCCCCTACTCCTGAGATCTCTGGACAGCCTCGGCCCCAGGGAGGCAGGCCCGGCACTGAATATGAAGCTGCCCATCGGGCTGTCTTGGGTCGAGCTTTTTGTGGTCCCCGCACAGGGGGATCTGGTTTCATGAGAACAGTTGGGTGTACATTTAGGACTGGACATTCTCTGCCATGAAAGACGGGGTGGGGGTTAGCAGGATGTGGATAACCATGCCTATCCCATGAGAAGGCCCATTTGCAAGGCCACCTACCTGTCTGCTGTGATAGAATCCATTCCTGTTGCAGTTTGGCAGGTAAAATTTGTAGATTTCTTCCCCTGCCTTCTGTTGAGCATGGGCTAATTGCTCCAGGACCCTGTAGAGTTCTCTCTGGCACGGCTCCTAGAAGAAACACTTGACATTAGGGTGGACGGAAGAGAAAGTGAATCATCAGCCTAGAGGGTGACTGAGAAGGAAGGTTTTGTATGCACAGGGGCACCTGGCATGGAACTAGGACCGACCTCAAGTGTCAAGTGTCATCTGTCCCCCGCGAGTGACAGGGGCTGGTCACTGTCTTGCGCTGTTAGGATGAGATGGGAGCCTCATTCTCTCCCTCTGCACATTTCCTAAGCAAAAGTGTCCCCAGGCCAGAGCCTGGTCAACAAAAGCCACAACATTCTTCCCATCCCACTCTCACCCCGCTGCCTGCTGAAAAATTGAGACACCTGCCATCGGGGGCAAGCGGGCACAACTTCCTGAGCGGGGACTTCAGCAGCACAGATGTCCAGATTGGAACGTTCTCCTCTGCAGGCGACAAGTTACTTTCACATACTCCAACTCAAGGGAGGCGCGAGGCCTTCATCCAGATAACCCGAGAAAGAATCGAGTCTCCTACATTTGTGCTCAGTCCAGATGAAATTCTAATGCTCCTAACTAAGCTTCTTTAGCTTTCCTGGGTGTGCCTCTTTGCGCAGGGGATTCTTTTCCTTGCTTTCTTTTCCTCATCAAAATAAATCACACCTCGCCAACTCTAGTTCTCTGTCGCCCTCCAGTGGTAGAATGGAAACCAGACGCTAAAGCGGGAGGCAGTGAATGTTGGGAGCTTGGGGAACTAAAGGTCCTGGAGATTCATGTCAGGACCCCGCTCGCCAAGCTCACCTTCCATTTCTTGATGTCTGTGACGTCTCGGGCCTGCATGCTGTTGTAGGTGCTGATGGCATTCCAGAGGATGGGCAGGTCTTCCCCGGAGGGGGCCATCAGGTGGAAACTCTCCAGCAGCTGCTTCTCCGTCATCTCCCCACTCTCAGGGCCCTCGCGCTTGGGGACAAGGCGGGCCTCGGCCTCTGAAAGGGAAGCACCGCAGACCCCTAAGCCGGCAGATGCACCCGCCTCGTCCCTCTCACCGCTCAGAACCAGGCTGGGACACCAGGCTGGTCGGGCTAACCCCAATCTGGCTGACGGTTTCCGAGAAGACCAGACCCAACAGCTGTATTAATTCTACTCTGGAAAGATAGCAAGTTTCAGGGTGCAGCCAGGGTGGCCTGTGGTTCTGCTTCTAAAGTACAGGGGAGGGAGCAATGTGCTCATCTGCTGAGATCAGGGCTTGGGTGCTGATTCCGGAGCCCGTTCGTAGGGGGAGCCTCAGCCTCAGCATTCTTGTCTGTAAAATGGGACCTCACTAACACCCCAGGATTGGGCAGCAGGGTCATCAGAAGAGGAATCTAGAGCACCCCTCACCCGACCCATATCCCTATCCTCTTCTCTTCTGGGGGACCTGCCTGCCCACATACCCCGTGACTTCTCTGCAAGCCCCCAAAGACAGGGAGGTGACAGCCACCCGGCAGGCAGAGTCCAGGTGTGAGTGGTAGGGTCCCACCCCCACCCCAGGGCAATCACCTCTCCTGTGGACCCTTGAGACCATTTCATTTACTCTGCTGGAGGAAGGATCTACAGGAAAAGCTGGTCCCCTGGGAAGCGTCCTGTGCTCACAGGCCGATCCCTATCAGGGTTTGGAACCACGAGACCCTCAGGGCCTCCCACAGGACATGCCACGGGCCCTGATGAGGCGATACACACTGGAACGGAGGAAGAGGCATTTCCCAAGCTTCCTACTACAAACAAACCATGGCTTAAATTCAGGAAGTAACCTGATTGTGGCGTTCTCAGGAGGCAACGTACACATCAAACATTGTTTGTCTATGGCAATGAATGGAAGTGAAGTTTTTAGCCTAAATTTTCACATTATGTTCTGTAAACATCTGGGAGGCACCCAGCATAGTCACAGGATGTATATCACAAAGGACATTCCGAACACCTCCCGCGGGCCGCAGGAGGGGGTTCCCACCCTAACCCTTCCGAAGGAACTTTCCAGCCTGCCAGGGCAAGGAGAGGCCTTGAGGTGTGCCCAGGGCCAGCAGCCCACCTTCACTGTCTGGGTCTCTAGCAATCACTGGGCCGGTGCCAGGCTGGGCGCTCTCCCCAGCTCTCCCCCAGGCTGTGTCCACCTCCACCCTCTCTTCTCTCTGCTGTCACCTCCCACCGGGGGGACTTAAGCGCCTCTCTACCCCGCATCTCTGGCTGCAAGCGCTGGGCCCAGGGGTGGGGTTGGTCTTACCTTCGGCACTGAATACAGCCTCCAAGGTGGGCACAGCGGGTTCCAGCACACAGGCACCCTGGCCACGGGTGAGGGCATGCAAGGGCCTGGGCTCCCCTGGCAGTGCACGGCAGCTGAGCCCCTGGGCACAGCGTGCAGTGGCTACACCGCAGGAAGCGCCAAGTGGCAGGGCACATGCCAGGCAGCACCCACAGCCTGCGGGCCGGGAGATCTCTGGGCATGAGGCAGGCACTGGCGGGCAGAGCGCCAGGCGTTCAGCAGAGCAGGGTGCGCAGTGCCAGGGCTGGGGCTCACTGGCTACCACAGCAACCTGGATGGCCAGAAGGAGCAGGAGCAACCCAGGGCCAGCAGCTGGGACTTCGGGCATCACTGGGCGAGGGTGGTGGGCAGTGGATGGCGCTCACTGGACAGTCGCCAGTGCTGGGTGCAGGCGGCAAAGGCGAGGAGGTGGCTGCTCTCAGACAGGCAGCTGAGCTTGGTGTCCGATGCTGGCTGTTCGGTGTGAGGCTGCAGACAATGCCTACCAGGTGTAGCCAGCTCCTTATGAAGCCCGTGCCCCGGGGACCCGCAGTTAATGATTGTCAGTGCGCCGTGCTCTGAGCCCAGTGTTCAAAATAAGTTTGTTTTGCTGTGCACTCAGGGCAAACCGTGGGCGGGAGGAGGGTGCACGGTTCAGGTTTCAGGCTCTGTTTGTCCTGCTGCTACAGGTTCAGGCCAGAGCTAAAGTCCACTTCTAAGGACAGGCTGGCAACCAGGTGGGGATGACGCTTGTTGTCGCAAGGGCACAGGAAGCCTGGCTGGCCTTGCCCCACACCCCAGCTCTGAAGGCCCAGAGACTGGTGGTTTTCACATGGGGAAACCAAGCCCCAGGGCTCAGGGCCAGTAGTCAGCATGTCCAAGACGAGATGGGACGGTTCCGAGGCTTGGCAGGTCCAGACCCCAGGCCGCCTGAACATTCTGACTGAGGTCAAAACTTTATCAGTAACTGAATACAAAGGCTTTCTCTTTAGATAAAATGCCTACGTCCCCAGCATTCTGAGTCACAAGAAAAACAGAAGCCTTTAAAGAAAATCAGAAATGCCCCATCGCAAGGGCTCAGGAGCCCCCGGAGGGACACCAGGACAGGGGAGGTGAGGTGCTCCAGGCCAGTGGCCCCAGCTCCATCCCCCTGGCCCCATCTTTGTCTCCAGGTCCAGGTGCAGGCTCAGACCAGCCCCCCAAGCTCCCCAAGCAGTATTTCAGGTCTAAGAGGGGTTGGAGACCCCCTGTCCAGCCCCTCACTTTACACAGGCTGACACTGGGGCCAGAGGAGGGAGGTCACAGGTTTGAAGTCACAACTGTCATGGCACATCCTAGACAGTCACTCGCACTCCTGTACCCTGCCGCCAGCAGAGCTGGGGACTGAAGAGGTGCTGCAGGGGAAGGGGCTGGGGGACATCAGGGCTGTGGAGAATCCCATCACACAGGGTTTGCACCCAGCAGTCACCAGCATCCGCCCCCTCGAGGTCTGTCTTGGTTCACCCTGGAAGGCTGGAGGGAGTCGTCCCATCCCTGCTTCCTGGGGCTGCTGCGATGTACACAGCAGGCATCACACAGGAGAGTTGTGGGGTACAGGAAAGTGTTGTGCACCAGCCCCAGTTCTGCTCCCCACAGATGATGAGACACCTCGGGGGACAGCCTGTGTGTGTGTGAAGAGAGGTACTCAACACCTCTGCTCTGCAGCTTGGCCTGCAGTGCCCCGGATGCCCAGGGCCAAATACTGGGCTCCTGATGAGAAAGAGCAGCTCAGTACCATCTGCTAGAGGAAAAGCTCAGGGCTAAGGAGTTATTCAAATTAAGTAAAAATCTCCAGACTGAGTAAAAACAGGAAGGCCCAGCATACAGTATGGTTGTGTATAATAAAAGGAACTGTGATTCTCAGAGGGTCCAGTGTCACGAGAAGAACATAGAAGAAGCTGATAGAATGCCTACTCAGCCATGCGAGAGGGTGCAACCTTCACGCCTAAGGGGCAAATTGGTTTCTTTCTCTCTCTATTACTAGGGATGGAAGCCAAGGCATTGCACTGGGCTACATCCCCAGCCCCCTTTCTCTTTCTCTCTCTCTCTTTCTTTCTTTCTTTCTTTCTTTCTCCCTTCCTTTCTCTTTCTTTCTTTCTCTTTCTTTCTCCCTTCCTTCCTTTCTTTCTCTTTCTTTCTTTCTCTTTCTTTCTTTCTTTCTTTTTCTTTCTTTCTTATTCTGAGACAGGGTCTTGCTGAGTTACTAAGTTCCCCAGGCTGAGTTTGAATTTGCAGGCCTCCTGCCTCAGCCTTCCAGACTGCTAGAATTACAGGTGTGCACCACCATGCCGGGCCCGCAGTAACCTTTTTTAAACTTCTGGATTTGTACCGGGTACTTCATTCTTCTGGTGTATGATCCATCTAAATAATCATCAAACTGAAATTAACTGACTGCTCCCTGTCCCAGCATGTCCCTGGTCCCCTGATACCGGAGGAAACTTCATTTTGCCATGCTAGCTTTTGTTCTACCTGAAGAGTCTCAATAAGTAGCAGCCACTCTACCAACAGCCAGAATAAGGTAGGCAAAAACAACTGTTGAAAGTTCATGATTGTGTTTGTTGCTATTTTTTACAGAGCAGCATTCAGTATCTGGTTATGGAATTGACTACTGATTTTAAATTTTCTTTATCATCCTTTGTTTTAAATTGATCTTTCTTTCTTTTTCTTTCTTTCTTTCTTTCTTTCTTTCTTTCTTTCTTTCTTTCTCTTGAGATAGGGTCTCGCTCTGTAGTCCAGGCTGGCCATGAACTTACTATGTAGCCCAGGCTGGCCTTGAACTCAGCAATCCTCCTGCCTCAGCCTCCCAAGTGCTGGGATTACAGACATGCACCACCACACCCAGTTTAAATTGACATGTTTTTTAAACTTACATTTAAAATCATATTTGAAGTGAATAGTTTTGATATCTATCCCTAAATAATTTAATTTCCGGAGGCAGAATTTTTGCTCTGAATTTTGTTTTCTCTTTGGCTTCCTCAACTTGCAATCACTATCCACACTTGAAATGTTTTCTTGATGAAACATACGAAAGAGAAAATCTGCTGGCAAATAATTGGGGCCCATGTTGTGTGTGCCAGGCGGTCTGCCTGGGCCTGGACAGTACACCCTGTTGCGCATTTGCCCTGTGCCCAGCCTGCCCTCCCTCGCTGAGATCACCCTGCATGTAGTAGATCCTCCCACCACAATCAGATCCCAAATATTTCCATCACTTGGCTCATAGCAATGGCAGACCAAACAGCCAGCAAACCCAGAGACCCAATTCTGCTTTCACTCCCTCTGCCAAACAAACGGTACCAGGCCCCTTCCTCCAGGCCTGCGCGGGTGACAGCCCTCCCCTGGCAGGCCGGCTCTCTGTGACTCAGAGGCCTCCCTCACCTAAGCCTAGTCCTGGCCCCAAACTTCAGTTCGCTTCCCCACCTGAACGCCACCCGCCTTGGCCTTGCCATCTCCAGCACGAATTCCACTGCCCGTGCCCACTCAGTCTCTTCCACCCACCCCAGAAGTCTCTTCCCTGAGGCCGAAGGTGGCAGGACAGTGGCTCTTCCGTGCCTGGCTCCGCGGGGCACTTGTGGCGGGAGGGTGCCCTCCTCTCAGTGGGGGCGGGACACGAGGTGGGGGGCTGGGGTCCCAGAGGGCCTCCCAGCATGCCTAGCAGAGCCAAGCCCCGGTGCCTCGGGGTCCCTAGGGCAGGGGCTCCTCCAGCCAGGAGGTCCCCGCAAGGTATGTGGGGAAGGAAGAGCGCCCCACATCCTGGCACCATAGTCCTGGAGGCAGGGGCTCCTCTGCCCAGCAAAGGACAGGGTGGCTGGCAGGAGGACCGAGGTGGGAGGGTGGGGAGCCAGGGCAAGACGGCCAGAGGGACTTGGGCGAGGAGCCTGGGTCGGGCTAGGTGGTGTGTGCCTGCGTGGCCCATGGGAAGTTGGGGTGTCTCTGAGAGCCCAGAGCTGAGGGCCATTCCATGCTCAGCCTTAGCTTCCTGGCTGCACCCCAGGGACCGGCCTGAAACGCCCCCTCCTGGGGATGTCAGTTGGACCTAGGAAGCCCTGTGCTCCCTGAAGGATGCAGAGGTGGTAGAGAAACCCAGGCCGCCTGCGTGTGTCCCCCGGGATTGGGCAGGGCAGGCACAGTAGCCCCTCAGCCCCGCCCATGCATGGAGCACGGTGGCTGTCCCACAATCACTGTTGAGTCCAAGAGCCCAGAGGACCTGGATGTGGAGCTGGGGTGTGGGGAGCGGGCAGCCAGCACCCCGGAAGCACTTACTGTGTGCACTTCCAACCAAGCTGAGCTGTGGTCAGCCAGGGCCCAAGACCAGGCCAGGTAGGGCCTAGGGCTGGAGCTTTCCGCCTGCGCCAGGCCAACGGGGCTCATTTTGGAAGGCAGCGTTGACAGGCGGCTGCAGGGCCCGGGGAGGACCACGCACAGGAAGCTGACGATGACGCAGAATTCGTGTTTTGTCAACTGGACTAAAAGAGGCTCAGGCCAGGGACTGGGGGGCAGCCGCCACCTGCACCCTATCTGACTCCTGAGCTCCACAGGCGCCACTGTCACTGGAGAAGCAAGGGACACACTTGGTGGGGGTCCCACGTGAGCGGCAGGGGGTGCCCGTGACCCGGCCATGCCCCTATCCGGGCCAAGCTTGTGCTGGGCATTCTTACCACCCTGCCTTTTCCTCTGGAAATTAGAAAGTATCTGCGCATTGCAAGTTCAACTTGGAGGCTTCGGTCAGCCCTGGAGGGGAAGTCACACCGCCCTGGAGCAAGACCACCTGAGTCAGCCGGCTCCCCAGGTGCGTGCACCCCGTGACCTCGGGGGCCTTGGTTTCCAGCCTGTAAGGTGTGCTCTTGGCATGAGTGAGGCCTGGGCGAATGTGAGCCTTGATCCCGGGATGATGAAACCTCACGAGGCCTTCCGTCACCCAGTTCCCGATTCCGCCTCTGTGCCCTGCGCTGCTTACCCTTCCTCGGCGCAAAGTTGGGCAATCCGTGCTCTGAAAGCAAAGCAAGAGTCAAGGGCAAAGTCCAACCTTCAAAGGGGAAAGTGCCAGGGGCATTTCAGAAAGGAAATTGTTTTTAACCTGGGAAAAACACAAAAAGCTGTCTTGCCCGCGTTCCCTGATCAACACGGGGATGATGTAAATCTGTGCAAAGGCCCCGCACGCTGTCCTTATCTCCCCAGTGGATGAAGGACACCAAAAGCAGGGTTGGAAAAAATAGCTCACACCTACGCCCCGGCTAACTGAAAGTCACCCACTCTGTCACATGGACAAGCCCGGCTTCTAAACACAGAATGTGCCCAGGGCGATGTCCAGGGCGCTGTGGGGAGACCAGGCTTTCCACCTCGGGACTGGTGATGAAGCCACCTTCTGGTCCCACGTGCATTAGTAAAGCCAGGCGGCAGGGGCAGCACACTCCCTTGCTGCGTCCTGCGGAAAGGCTGCTCAGTCAGGGAGCTCGGAACTCGGGCTGCGGGTGTGGCCACCACTGCTGGAGCCCCGTCAAGCCCCGGGGGCCCTGCACTTGGTGGGGTAGCGCGGATGGTGGAGAGCATTACAGGTGACACTATGCCAGGCTAGTGTGACTGAAGAGATGTGCCGCTCATTCCCAGTTACCTCATTTATGAACAACAGAAACATCTTCCCAACAGCGTGCGTGTGGAGCCAAGAGGCCAGGGGACCCCAGAGAGCAGAGGATCAAAGGGACCTGGGGTGGCCTGGTGTGCTGAGAGACATGCCGAGTGTGGGACACCAGGGACGGCCCACATCGGGTCCTTAGCAGCACTGCGACCTTGGACAACAGCTCTGTGCCTCGGTTTCCCTGTTGGCAGATGGAATAGGATGTGTGGAGTAGTTACGATATCAATCAATCCCGTGTAAAACATAGACTGTGAGAGGTCAGAGCTCCTCCCTGGGAGGTGGGACAGTCATCAGAGCTACCGTGTCCTTTCTTGGCCTTGGCCCTGTGCTCAGCCAAGGTCGCTGCAGCTTCTCTGTCCCCTAGGAGACTCTGCAGGCCACCCAGGGCTCTCCGCCCTTCTCTGCCCTCTCTCCTGCCCCTGACCTCACTGGTCACCCAGGCTCCCAGCCGGTTTCCCAGGACCCTCCTTCCCATGCCAAGTCTCTGTCCCCTGCAAAGCACAGATGCCCAGGTCGGGACACCAGGGCGTGGGTGACAAATGCTGGTGACACACACTTACCTTTGGCTGGGCTGCAAAGGCTCAGACAGCAGGGGCTGCAGAGGCAATCCAGAACCTGTCCACAGAGTGATTGCACACACTCCTGAGGTGTCCTTTTTAGAAAACTGTGAGAGAAAATTAAGCGATATTAAATTCACCCATCATCTTGTCTCCTGCATATCATGGTAATACTGTTTACTTTTTCTGGTGGTGGTGGTGGTGAGGGTGGTGGTACTAGGGATTGAACCCAGGGCCTTTTCAATGAGCTACACCACCAGCCTTTTAAAAAAAATACTTTTAAAATTTTGAGACAGAGTCTCAAGAAGTTGTCCAAGCTGTACTCAAACTTTCAATCCTCCTGCCTCAGCCTCCCAGAGTGCTGAGGTGGCAGGTGTGCACCGCCATGCTGTGCTAACCATTTGTTTGTATATGTGTGCACAGTGTGTATGATTTTGAAAATACCATCAGCAGGGTGGAAGAGTGGCCCTTGCTGGCCACCATATATCCAGCCCTTACACCTACCCAGGTATACCCTGCTGCTGTGGTCTGTGGCACCTTGACAGGAAGGCCTGGTCCCACAGAGCCACCTGATCTCTGACCACCCCACTCCGTGCTCTATGAAGCCTCAGGATGACCTCACTACTCAGGATGCTCAGCTTCTGCCACCAGTGGACACAACATGGAGACTCGAGGGTATAGGTGAGTGCCTGCCACGCAGGCTGAGCTCACACCTGCCCACAGTCCTGGAGGCTGAGTCAGTGCCATTTCTCTGCAGCCACACTCCCCCGGCTCAGGTTCCTAGATCTGCAGATGTTTCACAGCTGGAAGCCCCTCCCATGCTGCCTCACCTTACAAGGAAGGAGACAGCCTGCCAACATCACAAGGCAACTTAGAAAAATACTGTGTTTAAAAAGCTATAGATTAACAAGCATACAGAGCACGTAAAGTCAGATAAGACAGACCAGATTCTCATCTTAGTTCTGCAAAATTCTACCAAGTGACCCCAGCAATGCACCCATTCTGTGGACTCCAGCTTCTCCTCATTGAAATGGGCTCTCTACCCATGTTCTCAGCATGCTGGGGTTAAGTGTAAACTATCCTAGGTAGCTCCTTCTTATTGTTGCTAGCTTATTATTAATCATATTTGGTCTTTATGTAGATGTTTTAAATGTTTAAATGATATATGTACCAACTCCCCATGCTGAATGTATTCATAGAGTATTGCAAACATTTATAACAGTGAAGTACTACTCTGCCGTAAAGAAGGATAGATTTGAGTCATTCATAGGAAAATGGCTGCACCTTGAGACCGTAATGTTAAGTGAAATAAATCAGGAGCACAGCTTAAATATCACGATTTCTCTGAGAAACCCAAAGTACCAATAAATTAAAGAGCAAGATAAAAGATAAATAACAGGAGCTGGGGATATAGCTCAGTGGTTCTGGCGCCTGCCTTGCAAGTGCAACGTCCTGAGTTCAATCCCCAGTACCAAAAAAATTTTTTTTATTTTTAAAAAAATCAAACAGACCTCCCCCCCGCCTCCTTCGCTCCCCAAAAAGAATGAAGTTGCCTAAATACGCTATCCGGAGCTTCCTCACCATTGCCAGGTGCTCCTGGCGTCCTGACGGTGCTCGCTGCACCCTAACGCACAGGTGTGTTGGGAGATGCTGATTCATTAGATCAGCGCTAGCTCAGGTTAGCACGGACTGAGTTACAGCACTCGGTGGTACTGAAGAGGACCTGCCTCAGAGCGCCCCCTGGAGGCGGTAGGAAGCCCAGCCCCCGCCCTCAGACCTTCGCTGGGTCAGGAACCAGGCCCGACCGGTGTACCCCTGGGTTCCAAGCAGCTCAAGTTTGAGAACCACCCAAGGAACCGCAGGCTCCTTAGCAGCACGGACTTTGGGGTGGGCCCGTGTGGCCCTGGGCTTGCAGGACGCGGAAGCCCTGGTCCCAGCTGGGTGGGTCGGGCTGACGGTCCCTCCCTGTATGCCACTGTGATGGCACAATCGGCGCTTGGCCCGCAGGCGGTGCCCTACGCGGGGCCTGGCCCCAGAGCCCGTGGTCTTGACCACCCAAGGCCTCGGGTTGCGCAGGTGCACGGAGGAGGAATCGGCCAGGTGCGGGGCATCAGAGCCACGAAACCCGCCCGCGCAGCCGCGTGGGCCTCATAGGGTGGCGCCCCGCCGTGTCTCCCGAGGCTCCCGGGCCACGCGCTGCAACTGCAACTGCCGGGGCGGAGATGGAGCCAGGCGCGCAGGTGGGTGGCACAGGGCGGCCGGGGGCGCAGGCAACACCGGGGGCTGCGGTCAGCCGCGCGGTGGGGTGGTGGGGATCAGGCGCCCGGGGTGCGGCCTGGCTGCTCGGGCACGGGGCAGGCGGGACCCCCTCTGTTGCAGGGACCGCCACCCCTCTCCCCCGCCTCCATGGCCCAGCCGGGCCTCCAGGCCCGAGTCTTCCGGCCTGGCTCTGCGCGAGGCCTGGGCGCACCCTGGGTGGTCGGGATACCTGGTGCCACCGAACCTGTTGGAGACTGGGCATTTGTCCTTCCCCCGCCCTGGCCCATGTGGCTCAGATGTCTGTGCGATAAGATCCTCAGCCGCGGGGGAAGGCCAGGAGGAGACCAAAATTCATAAGCTCTCTGCTGTGGATGTAGAATGAAGCGCTGACCCAGCGGAATCAGGCAGCAACCCTGCAGCAAACCCTGTCCGGCCTAGACTGCACTCCGCATGCTCCGCAGCCCCCAGCCCTGGCCTGGGCTCCCCTTTGGCCAGCGCTGCATCTCAGACCATCCCAGGGGTGGTTGTTGTTCTTTTCTTCTGTTCTGTTTTGTTTCATTTTTCTCTTGTAAATGAGTACTGCATCCTTGTGGCTTCAAAGGCTGCAAGGCATAAAAAGTGACTTCTGCTATTCTCTACCCATCCCTTCTCCACCATAAGTAAATGTTAATTTTAGCTATTTCTAGAGCCTATTTAGAGTCATCTTTTCCCTCAGTTTCCATGAAAGACTACCCCAAACATAGAGACTTTCTAATTAGTGTAGAAAAAGCACTTGCATTCTTTTTACAGATGCATAAATGGATAATAATTTGTCCAACTGGTTCACAAGGACAAAAACTGGAATTGTTTTTAGTCTTCTGCCAAGTGATGCTGTGACCACCTGCACATGCATCATTTTGCCCATGGACCCCTCTGGAGAACAAATGTCTAGCAACAGCCTGCCTTTATCTGAATGCTACCAAGCTCCCTTCCAAAGACAAGCCCCAGGGTGCTCCGCACCTGATCTAAAGCTCACATAGATGGAGATATTTGTCACTCTCGTAGATGAAAGGAAGTGCTGCTTTGATTTCATCCTCATCTGTACTTCTGTTACCCAGAATGCAGCTGAATATGTGTGTGGTGGAGGCCCAGTTTCTAGGAACTGTTGGAAAACCTTGTGCTTTATTCAGTAGGCTACTTACTGTGCTTTTCTAAATAGGAAGAGTCATCCTTGGTTATTTTGTATAGGAACTGTGATTTGCCTTTTATTTTTAATTTTGTTTTTCAGAAATTTTTAAAAAATTATATTTAGTTTAATTCTCTTTTATGGCTTCTATGGTGTTAGTCCTAGGAAAGTCTTATTTAGGGCAACTTTACAGAATAATCCACCCATATTTCCCCCCCAGTACTTAGATAGCTTTTTTACATTAAAGTCTTTAATCCATTTGGAATTTATTTTAGTGAATGGTATAAGAACCCAACTTTGTTTTGTTTTGTTTGGTTTGGTACTGAGGATCGAACTTGGGTCCTTGCGCTTGCAAGGCAGGCAGTGGAACCACTGAGCTAAATCCCTACCCCTTTGTTTTGTATTTTTAAAGTTTTTTCCCTGTTAATTTATGAACTTTTAAGAGTATAATCTTCAGTCCTTTATAATTGCTTTAGTGCAAGGCGTGAGAGAGGGATTTGGCCTTACTGTCATTGTATTTTTTTCCAAGTGGTCAACCAAGCAGAAGAATGGGTGATAAAAGAGAAAAAAAAACCCTCTCTTCCCTATTCATCTGAGATGACTCTTTCCCCATGTGATGCTTTCATGCTTACATCTAGAGCATTGTTCTGGATACTAACTTGTTTCATCTCTAATCTTTCGGAGCTCACTCTTAGGAAGAGCCTATTTAACAGCAGCTCCCTCAATGAGCAAATGCATTTACCTTCAGATTGTTTTTTATAAGAGCCCTTTTCTTTCTCCTCAACCCCTTTCCTTTACTCTGAAATCTTGATCCCTGGAATAGATGACCTTCAAATCTCCTTTATGAGTGCTGGTGACCCTCCAGGTAAAAAGGTCATCTTCAACGCCATGATTATCATTTCTTTTTCCCTTTGACCTAGCATGGGCTAAAACAGACGAATTGCCTTCAATTACTACTTTATGTCTGTTTTCCCTAGTATTTTGCTCTATGGATGTTGATGGCCTTTATTATCTGGTACAAAAATAATCACAAAACTATGCATTTTCATTGTTTTTACATCAAGCTTTTGTTTCTGGCCTTGCTTAATGTATTTTGCCATCAATCCAATCTTTTCCAATATAAATATTGAAGTCTACCTTTTTTCATTTGTGCTTCCCACCTCTTATCTTTGCCTAGCCTACTTTGAAACTTTCCAAAGCTCTTTAGGCAGGTTTTGCTTTCTAATCCAATCTGAAAGTCCTTTAATAGGTGAGTTCACCCCACTTACCTTTACTGACATGGAATGTTTTTGGCCTTCAGTTCCTAATTTATCAAAGAAGACATTCAGATGGTAGATAAGCATGTAAAAAGATGTTCAACTTCCTTACTCATTGTGGGAATGCATATTAAAACCACTATGCAAATGAGATACATCACTCACCCATTAGAAAACTAAAATTGAAGAAAGTACAGACTGACCATACCAAATCCTGATGAGAACGGAGAGCAGTGAGAACTCTCCTCCGTCATCCATGGGGTTGAGGAGCAATAGTAGCCATGACTCATGGTCTGGCATGAAACTCATCCCGAAGGTCATCTTGAGGTGATGTGAACCCCATCCTAAGGTTCTACTAAAGGAAACAATACATGAAACATACCCTGCGTGCGGTCAAGGACACTCCCTCACTTTCTGAGCACACCTTGGGGGGCTCGGCGTGTGAATCTACATCTGTGCAGATGTTTGGTGCTGAGGAGGAGCGTGAGCCTTGGTCCCCCCAGCTGCAGCCACGCCTCACCAGTACTGCTCCCCCACCTCAGGCCACTCAGCTGCCAGTTTTAAAGTCACCCTGGTGGCAGAATGATCACCCTTACCTTGTAAGACTGCTGCCGGGAATCCGTGACATAGACCTCAGATGTCCCTTTGAACACCTCCCTAGACTGTTTCCAGAATCCCTTCCCTCAGGGCCTCATTCCAAAGTCTTTGTGGAAATTCAACCCATGAGTCGGTTCATCTGCGATCTGAATATACCGGGTCCGAATATTCTGTTGTACATAGTGCACATGTTTTGTTCAAAAGCCAGTGACATGGAAAACTGTACAGCCATGTGTCTCCTCATCCCTACTGAGGTATGGAAATAGTTATCATCCTGTTGTGAGGGAAGAAATGAAAAGGAAAAACAGACTCCATGCTCGGCACAGGCAGTTTTCTGTCTCAAACATTCCTGCTCTGTAATGGGTCAGAGCCGTGCTTGGCAGACGCCGCCACCGTGGGGACCGAGCGTGTCACGTGTCCGTGTCTGAGAGAGGCAAGCACTGGGCTGAACTGGCTCAAACTTCGTATCAGAGGGACAAGTTGGCCAAGGTGATGGGGGGTAGGGTACTGCCCAGCGCCTCCTGCCCAGTGTGCTGCACCTGCTCGTGCATGGAGAGCTGCGGTGTTTGTGAACATTTTGGATTTTGTATTGCGAGTTTGCATTTTGAAATGATTGGACAATTTGTTGCTGTTTCCCCATGCCTCGTCCTGGGATGACGATATCCCCCAGTGAGTCAGAGGCTGGGGACACCATCTGGCTCTGTCCTCCAGGCCGGTCATGCTCCAGTGAGAGTGTGCCCTGCTGGGGTCAGTGTCTGTCCTGAAACCCTCCAAGGCTGGATCTGTGTTTTCCTTTTCAGCACCCTGGGCCGAGCTCCTCTGAGGATGAGAGCACCCCTCGAGTGGCAGGGAGGCCACCCTGGAAGATGCCCACCAGGCACAGCACCCCTGAGGGCAAGGAGACAGCCCTGCATTGGAGCCCGAGGCCTCGAGGCCAGGCCTCCCACCTTCAAGAGTCCCTGACATCTGCACGCTCTGCACAGGACCTGGTATCCCACCCAGGAGGGCTCAGCCCTGGGGCCACCTTCAGGAAGAGGAGGCTTTCGACCATCTACGCCTTGGAGGAAGGCCCTAGTGAGCAGTCAGGGCCCTGCTCAGAGGCCTCGGTTCTGGAGGATGACCTGCCAGTGCCAGCCTCACTGGCCAGGCCGCAGGAGAAGGCAGAGGACCCGCAAGCAAAGAGCTGGCCACGCAGCCCAGGTCTGCCTGGGGTCCCAAACACTGCCAGAAAGAAGAGACGGGACCCGAAGGAGTGGGCAGCTGTGGTAAGTCTTACCCTGTCCCTTCCCATCCCTGGAGCACTTGTGTGGCCCCCCCTACTGTGGCCTGTTCAGCACCACTCTGCACGGGAGGTCACTGAGGCTACCAGCCTTCCTGTGCCCAGACAGCGCTCTGCTCCCAGGGGACCCTGCAACCAGTGTTGCTCAGTTGTGACTCCCCAGTGGGGGCTCTGCCTGCTCTCTGTCCTTGGACCCCATCTTGCAGGGACACAGGAGCCACCTCTCCAGCTCTGGGTCTGTAGCCAAGTGGCTGGTGGCATCAGTGAGGGGAAAGCCACTGCAGACTGCTCCAGGGCTGTCCTGGGTTCCCAGGGCCTGGCCAACAGGGCCTTGACCCTTCCCAGGCACCTCTCACCCTCCCACATAAGCTTCCTACGCCCCCACAGTGGATCAGGCAGCGGGGCAGCAGCTGGGGAGGGGGTGCTGTCCCCCAGAGCCCTTACGTTCAGGGAACAGGAGGACACCACCCAGTGGGCACCAGCAGGAAGTGGACTGGTCCACTAGGAATGTGTGACAGCCCCTCCCAGGGCCCAGCTGTTCCTCTGAACCCCAGCTCCTGGTGACAGAGCTTGGAGACCTTCAGCAGCAGACAGCTGGCTCGGCTGTGCCAGGGTGGCATAGGGGGCACTGCTGGGAGCCCTGGGAATTGTCTCTCACGTCTCCCCTGCCTCCCTCCAGTGGGCCCTGACTTAGGGTCACCCTGTTCTGGGGGTCCCTGCCTCCTCGCCCCTTTTGTGGGTTTATCCCCCCCCACTGCCCACATGTTGCAGGGGCTTCCTGAGAAGGGCACCCCGGGGATGCCTGCCTTGTCCCCTCACCTGACCAGCAAGCTGGGCCCCTCCTGAGAGTGTGCAGCCCCTGCATTTAGAGATCAGGAGGGGACCAGGCTGGGCTGGCTGATGTCCCTGGCCTGAGTGTGGCTGCCAGGCCCAGTGGACCCCTCTTTGTGTAAGTACATTGTGCAGTGCACAACCTTGTCTCCGGTGACAGTGCTGGAGAATAACTGAGGCCCCTCTCCTAACCAGATGCTGCGGGTGAGACAGTGGGAGGCCCGCCTGCTGCAGGACATAGAGGCAGCTGTCCATCATGAGCTCACCATCCAGGATGAGGGGGCACCTGACATCGGCATGATCCAAGTCGAGATCCAGGAGCCCACCACCTCGGGCTGACTTCACGGTCCACGCCCTCCCGCTGTGGCCCCTTGTGGGTGCAGTGGGAGTGGATCTTGTGCCTGAGGTGAGGAACTGGGGACAGAGTCCCTGATTCAAAGAGGCCATTTCTTCATGTTGTGTGACTGGGAACAGCCCGAGGGCCTCCCTGAGCCCTTGCCCTCCACCATCTGGGCTGGTCACGGGGACACCGCTCTGCTTGTCTGACCCACAAAAACCTGTCCCAAGGCAACGAAGAGCCATGGCCCCTGTGAGGGTGGCTGTGGGTCCAGCTCCCTCTGCTCTGTGGCGGGGGTGTCAGGTCCTCGGCTGCTCTGGGCTGATTTCATCAGACCTGGGAGCAGGCAGGAGGTGGTTATGGCAAAGAAACCTCCCGGCGCCTGCCCGCGCAGACCAGGCCAGGCAGAGGGTGGAAGGAGGGCGTGCAGAAAGAAATGGGCTCCAAGGGTTCGAAGTGGGGCCCAGGTGGGGAGACAGTTTCCAAGCTGGTTCTGGTGGGCTCTCTGGGTTCCCTGGGACCCGACTCACCCAAAAGCGCTGGAATCCGCAGGCACTACAGGAGTTTGATCTCCTGCGGTTGCCTGGGGTGCTGTGCCCCTGCTTAGTATCAGGGCCTCCCCAAGGGGTGGATCTGTCACCCCAGACCATACAGCAAGGAAGAGATGAGCCAGCCGAGGGTCTTTGGCTCAGTACGAGACCAGCCTCAAATCACGTACGGTGCAGGCCTCTCGGGCCACCTTGGTAGATGTGTCACGGTCACTTAAATCCGGAGCTAGATTGTATTCTTGGAAATGTCCACAGCCCACACTGCATCAAAAAAGGATTGCTCTTTTCTTGCTAAAAACAGGTATGCTTACCTTTCCCGTGTAGTCCTCACAGCCTCCTGCCCGGCCCCTCTGTGTGTCCGTGGCAGGTGGGCTGGGCCTCCTCAGGCAAGGGGACACACAGTCATTGCTGTTGTGGCATTGGAAGGGGTTGCTCTAAAAGTGAGACCTTGGACTGGGTCAAAAACCAGAACATGATAGATGCTAAGGACATGGGAGGTCCAGGATGCCGGGTCTGAACGGATGGGGGAAAGTTTTAACTCTGTCACCAGGTAGGTGGGAAGTAATTCAGATCCAGGATGCGCTGGACAGTTCCAGCAGAGAAAGGATGAGGAGATGCCTCTCAAAGGGACAAGGCCCTCACTGACAGCTGCCACTGGGCGGTGACTTCAGATTCATCCAATGTCCTTTATAGGGAACAAAAACTCATCGGCTGTGTTGTACATCTAAACATTAGCAAGTTTCCTGAGCTAGTTCCACCTACTCGGACTGCTCGCTTTTTTCTTTTTTCTAATTATCAGGTTGTAAAATGTCAGATATATAAAAGTGATAGAACTTTACTGTTTCAAATAAGATGTAAAAATACAAAGCAGAAAAATTGCCTGGAACTGCATAACACAGCAATCAAGACTTCAGGGCTATTCCTTCTGACTTTTAGTACTAAAAACAAATTGTTTTCCCGTGAACTGTTTTAAGTCTTCACATAATGCAAATTGATTCCGACATGTAGTGGAGTGGATTCTGTTTTTCTTCTTGTTTTTCAAAGAGTGAGATTGAATTTCAGAATGGGTCCAAGCAGGAATTTGCGGAAATGTGTTCTTGAAAGAGTGGAGCACTTGGAAGACCTGTGTGGCCCATGATCTCCTAGAGGTTTATACTTCATTTTCTAGGGTTATTGCGTGTTTATCCACTTGGGTCCATTTGCTGTCCCATGAGGGCGATGATTCAGATGCAGCTCTCTGGAGTATTGCACAGATGAGATGGGTAATCATGTGTATTCTCTGCCCACAAGAAGATGCCAGGAAGCCACGTGCAGAAGGAAGGGGTGCTACCACCCAAGTGCCCAGCCACGCGTGGAACGCAGTCCCCTTTAGTCTTTCTGAGACCTTCTGGAGGGCAGGTGTCTGTGAGAGGCTGGGAACAGGGAGCAGGCGTTCCCAGACCAGGCACACAGGGTGTGGGTGAGGCCTGCTGGGGTTAGAGAAGCAGCAAGACTCGGGATCAGCTGGGAAGGATGGTGCTTGGGAGAGGCACACTTAGATATAAGCACAGGTGTAACCTGCACCATTCTGTGGCACAAAAATGATTCCCTCAAAGCTCACAGTATGTGCAGAACCCTACAGTTTGCAGCCATAAAACCATATGAGGAAAGGAAATGTATGAAATGCCTTCTTTTTCTCGGTAGTTTTCCTCCAACTGAAAATTCCGGGAACTCTGAGAAGCTGCTCCTCTAACCTTTACTGACACCTGAACATCATATTTGCAGCTGCTGCCGGGCCCAGCCACCGCCCCTGCCCAGTTGGGTGCAGACAGCTGGTGTGTGTGGCATTGCTATGCTCTACCGGGTGGTCCACCAGTGACATGGATTTACTCTGCCACCCGAGGGCACACGATAGTCTGTGTATTTGTTTTCTGGAAGACACCACTTCCTGTTAGCTGAGCGCATGGATTTCTGTTGCATTTTTCTCTGTGGCTCCATAACAAGCGATCACAAACTCGGTGCCGCAGATGGCCACCCCTGCGTTACCTGCTGCCCCTGGGCTCTGCCTGGATGTCCAGGTGAGATCAGGTGGCTTCATACCTGGAGAGTCTGGGCAGGAATCCCCTCTAGGTTCATGCAGCTTGGCAGAAAGTGGTTCTGTGGGGTGGTTCTGCTCCCCCCACCGGCTGTCGGGGCACAGTTCTGTTCCCAGACCCTAAAGGGCCTGTGTTCCTACTCACGTGGCTGCCTGTCTTCAAGCTGCCGATGGCCGCCCAAAACCTCCCATCCTTGGAATTTTTCCGGCTTCTCCTTCTGCCTCCAGCCAGAGAAGTTCTCTGCTCCCAGAACTCCTGAGAGGTGCAGTGCCCTAACTGGGTTCATGGCCCGCCCAGGAGTGAAGTCCCTTCCCACCTCGGGTTCTAACTGGGGCCATGGCATTTTGGGGGGCATCTTAAGTCTAATTCCCAACTTTTCATCATAAAATGCTAAAAACCCTTGTACAAAATAAGTATTCACATCTAGGATTCATCTGTAGAGAACTAGGGATTATTCTTCTATATTAAAAGCTGTTATTACTATGTGGAGTTCCTGTGAAGTTTTGTCAGGAGGGCCATAAATCCCTGTGAGCACGTGTGAGCTCACTGTGGCTTTGCCAGTGCGAGCATACTGTCTTTTAAGAACATTAGCCAAGCTGGAAGGTGAATGTGGATGTCATTGTTTCTAATTTGCATTCATTTCATTAATAATTCTCTGCTTGTCCACGTGTTTTCTGGTTGGTTTATATATTTTTTCTCTCTGTATATGCTCTTTGATTTTTTTAACTTATTGAGATATTCCTTCCATGATAACTTTTTTAAACTCTTTACTAGGAATTGGTTTTATTTGAAAGTAAAGAGGCAGTCTTTAGTTAAAGAGGAAAAACGACATCACATCTGTGACTGTCATGGGTCTGCTTGGACGGGCCATGGTTCCCAGCTGTCTGATCAAACCCAGTCCCAGTGATGCTGGGAAGTTAGTTTCTAGATGTAAATGAGATTAATTATCAGAGGACTTTGAATAAAGTAGATGCCCCTCCACAATGTGGGTGGGCCTTGTCCAATTAGTTGAAGGTCTTAAAAAGACTAAGCTCTCCCCAGACAAAGAGGAAAGTCTGCCTCCAGCCTTGGACTTGCTCTGCAGCATCAGCTCCTCCCTGGTTTCCCTGTTTCTACCCCCAGCACACACCAGTGCACACCAGTGCACACACTCACCCTCCATTCCCATTCCTCTGGGGAACCTGATGACAACATACATGGGACAACAATTTGACACTGCTCAACAACAGCCACAGAATGATCCCTCGTCATTCAGTTAATTTTGGATCGAGTGATCTTTTCAAACTTTTTGAAAGAAAATAACCTATCAGATGGTAACTGTCTACTCAAGAGAGTTTGGATCTTTTAGGAGAGGAGGTGAAATAAAAGAACTTAACAGGTAGAAGGAAAATTAACTTATCCCTGAGTCCTGAGCTAAAGGAACTTCTAAATATCAGAAGAAGTATTATCCTATGAGATACTTTGAAATGCAAGAGGCATTTATGCAAAAGAAAATGCAGAGTCTATATTTAATTTTAAATATTATCTGGCTGAAATCAGTATCTTAACTGTGAGATTCAAACACCAAGAGGACTAGGGCCAGAGATCTAGCTCAGTGATGCCGCCGCCTCCCTTGCAAGCACAAGGTCCTGAGTTTGATCCCTGGTACAAAAAAAAAACCAAGAGGACTAAAATCCTGTAATTGGGGTTGGGTGCTGGTAAGAACTGATGTTGGTGTGATTGGGGGAATCATTTAGTACTTAATGGTCTGCATGATAAGCCCCCAAAGCACATGCAACAGCTAGGGTTATCTTAAAACATCCACACAACCACTTGGCCACAAACCAACTTTGGCCACAAAGTTTAGTCAAGCAATTTTGTTCCTCTTTATTTTTGTTAAATAAGACTCCAGAAAGTATAGTGCAAACACTCAGTAGAAAAGTTGCAATTAAGAAATGTACATTCACATTTAACATTTCAATCCATTCACTTTTTTTTAAAATAAAAATAGGACAAATTATTCAATTACTTGTCTCAATTTAACAATCTTGAAAAAGATTGGAAGGTGCTCTTCAGTGTCCAGTTGACATAAAAATAGACCCGTATTGATTACAAATCTATCACGAGAAGTTACCCAGTGAGATTGCGGCGCTGTGATGCAGAGTAGCACTGCTGTGTCCTCCCGCCTACAGAAGCATCCTCACTAAGTTCACCTTGTGGGAGAAGCTGACCCCTCGGCCCACGCCGCTCTTGTCCTACGGGGGGACTCTTCCCTCTCCAGCCAGACACAGGCGGACACGAGCGCTCATGTGACTTTCCTCAGGAGTTGGTTTCAGCTTGCCGTAAATCAGGATGGAGTCACGCTAGGAGATGGCCACGTGGTCGTGGCGCTGACTTTTTAGGTTATGAGAGTGCAGGTGGGAGGACAGTGGAGATGTCTGGGCTGAAAGCACACAGCACCCACTAAGTGCTCGAGCTACACCATCTAAAGGGTCCACGCGACCTGTCCTGGCTTTCAGGGCTGCTCTGCAGCCAGGCCTATCCCTTTCTGCACGCTGCAGGACTCCAAACTCAAAGGCCCACAAGGTGGGAATTTCACAGCATGAAATTCTGGAGTGCAATGGCTTGGTGTGTGCAGTGTCGGCAGGGGTCAAGGCAGCACAGTGGGCGTGTGCTCCCGGTGGTGTGTGTGTCCACACTCCGGGGTGTGCAGCAGGTGCTGTGGGCGTCCTTGGGATCCCCACAGTGGGGAGGGTCCCCTGAGACTTGTGCTTCTTTTGCCCAGAGCCCGGGGTGGAGCGGGGGGTGCTGGTGAGAGGGAGAGACAAGTTCTGGCCGTTGTCAGGCCTGCAGGGACCCTCTGAGCCGTCCTGACAGCCAGCCCGCCCCACCCACAAGCCCCAGGGACCTCCTATCTCCCCAGAGCCACTCCAGGAAGTCCTCTCTGTCTCAACACTGGTTCTCAGTAAGCGGCTCAAGGTGATTTTGGAAACCAACCCATCTGAAAGTTGTCACTCCATGGTACCACGACACAGACAGGCACTTGGACCTGCTTGGTGACCAGGCCTGGCTCTCCACCTGTCCTACTCGCCTCCATGCTAATGACCATTCCTGGGCAGCTCTGCTCATCCCACACCCTCCAACCCTGGGAACGAAAGTGGCCGCCCTCGTCCCACCAGTAGCATCCAACCTTAACACGGAACAGCTCTACGCAAAATAGCAGGCATGACCACCAGGCTTCCCAGAGCCCCCGATGCCCCCGACCAGCACCTGCAGCCCTGGCGCTGCTGTGAAGCCTGTGTCCTCAGGGGGCGGCATGGCTCTGTCCCTACTGGATGTCAGCAAGGCTTTCCAGAGAGACTGCAGCCATCCCCCATTTAAGGAGATTCTGCACATTTTAGGTACTGGCTGCATTTCAAACCAAAAAGCTATAGAATATAAACCACAATCTGACTAAGTAGTGCCACCTGAGGCCTAGTGTCTCATCGCCTTGCGGGGCTCGGTAATATTCCAGGAGGAATGTGGCTTGGCCAGGGCCTGCAGAGCCAGTCCAGAGTGGACACAGGCTCCCAGGATGGGGGGCTGGAGCCGTGCGGGCCTTGGGGGGTCCCTTCTCCACTGCGCATACAACTGTGACCAGCTAGTATTCTCCATGAAATCGGCAGTGTGTGCAGGTTCCACTCTCAGCATAGAGACCTTCGCTGTAATGGGAAATGTTGGGAACAATGGTGCTGGGACGGGATGAACAGAGGCCAAGGCCTGGCTGTGTGATGAGCCCCTCGAGTCCCCAGACCCTCCGGGCCTCCAATTCTCCGTGGGCAACACGAGCACTGTCACACCAACTCCTCTACGGGTGGCAGAGGCGCGGGAACCACAGGGGCCCAGAGACTAGGAAGCCAGATTTGGGAACAGAATGAGCACTTTGTGAATTTACAGTCCCAACAAAAGGCCCACTGAGTCCAGCTTCCGCTAGATGTGACAGTGATGCTGCCTTCCCCGGAGTTGAGTGTGGGACAAAGTGGACCCTGTTGAAGGGAACTCAGCGACTTCACAAAGGATGAAGGGACAGGATCTGAAGTGACCAGCCCTGCGGGACAGAGGCCACAGTGACAAGGCCACATGGCAGCCACTGTGATCCTCTCTGTCTGATCGTTAAGATGTTTTTTACAGCCAGTTTTCAGCCACAACCTAGGAAGGCCGCCTGTCTACTGGTGCCATTGTCCAGGAAAACTGAAGGCGACATTCCCAGACCTCAACTCAGCTCTGTACCTGGGGAAGGAGACATGGGCCTGAGGCTCAGGCCCACTTGCTTCCTCCTTCATGGACTCCACCCACATTAAGAGCTCTCCACAGGTCCCACGTGTGCAAGAAAACCCAAAGCCAAACAGGCAAAAATAAAGGTCGAGTTTAGGCCTCAGTGCTGATATTGCAGATAGTTTTAAAAAGTCAAAGACTCTGCAGCTGTGGGTGGACAGGGCCTCAGGGACCTTGAGGACATCCCCTCAGGTGCCACCAGGTGTCTGTATGTCCCTGTCCCCACCTCCTCCTCCTCCTCCAAAGAAAGTTTCAGGTCGGGACACTGAGGATAGTTTGACCTAATACCCCAGGTGTCGGGCATCTGGTTGTTTTCTAATTTTGTTCCTTTTACGAATCCCCATTAGTCCCTGGAACAGGTGTGCACACACACACACACACACACACATGGACACACACTGATTTGAACTAAGCCTGGCCTCTAGTTGAGTAATATTTTAAAATGTAATGAATGTGTCCGATATGCAACTGAATGCATTAAACTTTCACAGAACCTTAAACATACAAATATCTGGGTCTCTGCAACAGCGCATTGCTTAGGGATCTTGGTCCCCAAATGTGGCATCTGCAATCGGTGATGATGGCACGGGCCATGTGGGTGACAAATCTCACATCCTACGACTAGACCTGCCTTCATAGGCTGTGACCACAGGAGGGTGAGGCAGGAAGTGCCCAGACACTTTCCAGAGTGTCCTGTGGGTCCCTCAAGGGGAGGCAGTCCCTGGGCCTGACATCCCCATGCCTGCATGCCATATGGTCTGGGGTTGTGCTCGGGGCACCTGCCCCCATGAGAGGGACAGCCTGGGCACTGCCACCTGCCGCACACTGTCCACACAGCACCAGCATCTGCAGCTTCCAGGCCAGGACCCCGGGCAGCGGTCATCAGCTGGGTCCATCCGACCACATGGCTCTGGCTGACTTATCCAGCAGGAGGTGCTGGGCCACAGGAGGCTAAAGCAACCATTTCTACCACGCCCGCTCTGCCAAACCTGACACTTGGCCATGCCATTTCCTCTCAGGTGCCAAGAGTCGTTGGGGATCTGAGTTCCTCCAGGGAGACCTTTCTCCGCCACCCCCCAAGTTCAGTGTGAAGGCCTGAGCCACGGAAATTAACCTACCCACACTCAGGCCAGCTCTGTGTAGCCCCTGATCCTACCTGCTGGGCCCTGGCCCCCCACATCCTCCTGAGTCTGATTTAAGTGCACTCCGGCAGCTCCTCTAACCCTTGCCTAAAGGGCACGAAGGCAAACCCAACCCCAGGACACTCTGCAGAAGTGGTCACACACTTGCTATCAAACCTGGGGATCCATGGGACCGAGGGACACAGTGCAAGCTCTCACAGCAAATGCAGTGGGGGAGAGGGTTGCTCCTGGGCCAGACGAAAGCTGCACTGTGCTCTTCATTAATTTCACCAAATTAGCTATTTCAAAATCCAATCACCTCTAGGAAGGTCGTGTGTGTGTGTGTGTGTGTGTGTGAGTGTGAGATCAAAGCCATTCCAAAGCCACAATCACGCCTGCTTCCAGTGCTACTTTACACACAGCCATCAGACCTGCAGGTCTGCAGAGTGAGCAGCATGAGCAGCACTTCAGTGACTCCAGGAACCAGTGCTGTTAGATGTGCGCTGTTCCTCCCTGCCAGGTACAGATCCACCCTCACCTTGCAAACTGAGCGTCCCTGTTGGACTCAGGGCCTGCATGGGTTGGGAACAAAATCCCCAGGACTCGGGGGTCCCGAGCCAGCCCTGCCCAGGTGGTATCCTCCACACACTGATGCTTCTACCCAAACCGCTCCTCTCTGACCTGGGCCATGACAGCAACCAGAATGCAGTCTTTCCGGGTTAGTATCAGAACCACGGCACAGTCTTCCTATGAAATGCAAATAAAACCCTGATCACTGGCGGTCGGCCTAGTCCTGCCCAGGGTCCCAATCCTCCATATCAACCTTGGCACCCAGCCTTTCCCTCAGGCTCACCAAGCCAGAGGGTGTCCCGCCTGGGCAGCAAGGGTAGCAGACAGCCCTGGAAATGGTACCTTTTTAATGCCAGATACCCTCGATCATGGGAGGCCAGCACTAAGACAGGATGGGAGAGGCTTCATGGGGTGGGGGCCCTGCCTCCTCCTCACTTAGAGCACAGGTCACCGGCTGCATCTGCTCACCTGCCTGGGACGCTGAGCTCGACTCTAGGGATGGAGAGGCCAGGTCCAGGTCTACTGGGGCAGTGTAGTCCCTCACGGCCAACTCCTATGCACGGCTCGTCTCTGAAAGGCCAGTCTGCAAGGGCCAGACTGGGCTCTGCAGCACAGTTTCAGTTATTGCTTCTATGACAGAAGGGTCTGGACGCCCCATGGCTTTAGAGTCTGAAAAACACGGGCTGACAACTGGATTGCTGGGTGTGTGGGGCGTCCACCTGCAGGACACGGGCACCCCAGGAGTGGACCGGCCTGGGTCGGCACGGCCTGTGGAAGCATCTGGAAGCATTCTGGGGCTGTGTTCTACTCTATGGTGGCAGGCACGGGAGGCATGCGAAGAGGGGACACAGAGGGCCATTTCCCAAGGGCCATGGTATCGCTGAGCGGGCAGGGCTGATGGGGCAGAGCCAGGCTTTTCCTCATTTTTGGTAGAGTGCCAGGCAGCACCTGTAAGTGGTGCGCTATGTACAGAGCATCTTAAAATAAATTGTTTCAAGAGACTCCTACCCGAATGGCTCTAAAGTTTGTGCATGAATACTGTACAAGATTAAAAATAAATAAGGCAATATAATACAGGTTTATCACAAATAAAAAGGAAGTAAGTGATTTTTCATCAAACCCCAGGGAACATATGGCTGAACACAGCTCCTGACCTCGGAGGAAGGAGGTGGGATTTGGAGCTGCTGCTGCTGCTGCTGCTGGAGATGGAGATGTCTGCCCGTGCCAGGCTGCCAAGTGGCCCCGCAGAGCTGTCCCGCGCCGAGAGGGCACGCGGCTGTGACTGTGCAGCGACACGGACTCCAGGCCCCAGTCCTGCGTGGCAGCTGACTCGGCTCTGAGTCTCAGAGGTTGGTCCAGGTGTCGCCAGGCTGGGCTCCTGCAGAGCAGCCTGGGCCACTGCTGCTATCCACTCGGGCTGTGGGCAAATTCAGCTGCCTGTGGCTGAGGGAGTGACGTCCCTACTTCTCACCCGCAAGCACTGGGAGCAGCTGTGAGTTGTCCATCATTCTCCTTCGGGGCTCAGCCCTGGCCATGCTTCTCCACTTCTGAGGGGCCCTGTGGCCACGGCGAGCCCACCGGTAGAGTCCAGGGTCCCTCCCAGCTTCAGGTCCTACCCTAATCCGATCTGCAAAGCCCCTTGCTGTGGGACAGGACACACATGGGACAGCCCAGCAGCCACACGGGCACAGAACGGGAGCAGGCTGCACTGGTGACCCTGCCCTTCCACAGCCTGCCCGCCATCACCCCACCACCTCCCTGCTCGCCTGTGCCCCATCCCAGCCGAGCGCTTCACATCTGGTAGGAACAGACAGACAAGAAAACGCCAGTGGGAAGGAGATGACAAGACAAGACAGCTGGGAGCAGAGGGAGGCAGCAGCCGGAGGGTGGGTGGGAATGCCCTGGGCAGGGTCTCAGGCCATGGCTGGGTCACAGCTGATGACCAGATGAGGCTGCCAGGCCTCAGGAGCATCCCCCTGACCTCGGATGGACACCCCAAAGACAGGGAAGTGCCCGAGAGCATCTCCCATGCACGGAGATGCCAGGACCACAGGCTGCCTCCACCTCCATCCTGAGTCCCATGGGGCTGTGGTCAGTCTGCCCCAAGCATCACCTAGCAGCCGCCCCAGCTGCAGTGAGGGCCCTGCTGCCCCAGCTGGCCACACACCTGACCCTGGCTGGGTCAGGGACCCATCTAGAGGCAACAGGGGGACCCCCACAGCCTGGAGAGGGCAGGGCTCAGCCCGCCTGCTCCCCACAGCCGTGCCACACCTTTCCTCTGGATGTCTCCTTGCCAATGAGCCCACCCAGACCACCCTCAGCCCTGTTTCCAACTGCCCGCCTCCCCAGGAGCGATGACAGAGGTCTCCAGGAGCCAGGGTTCCTGGCGATTCCAGGCAGTCCCTTCCTAAAGCTCTGCCAGTCCCCGGTCACCCACTTCCTGCCTTCATCTCTGCTGCAGTCACCAAGAAGCACAGGTGAGGGGTCCCGGGTGTCAACGGGACCACCCGCAGCCTCTCCGCACACTGCAGCAGGGCTGCTAGACGCAGGACCACACAGTCTCAGGAGGGCCGGTTGTGCCAGAGACACGATGTCTTCCCTCCAGGAACCTGACTTGTGGGTGTGAAGTCATGCGTTCTCCACATAAATGGAGCCTGAGTTCTCATCCTTCACCCAGGACCACATAGAACTTGCAGAAGGCAGGACAGGCACCTGTTCTCCTGGGCACACACAGTGACATGCAGGTGGAACCCGCCCAGCTGTCACAGGAGCCAGGCGTGACGGCAGGGCAGGAGACACACAAACGAGAGAAGCAGCTGGTGCTGGCCAAGGATGCAGGGGCTGCAGCCCTGAGGATCCAGAAGACCTGCCTCTGGCTCCGGGCATAGGTCTGCTCTCAGGGAAGCCAGCGGCCCCAGTCCCCAGGCAGCAAGGGGTGGCGTCACAGTGCTTCCCACACCGTCCTATCCACAAGCCACCGGCCTGTGTGGGCCTAGACCTCTTATCTTGGCGCCAACTTGGGGCTCACTTGTGGTAGCTCCTCTGTCCCTCTGCCAGCCAGACCTCCACTGCAGACATCCTCAGAGTCCCAGGGCCCACGCCGGCCAGAGCTGGGCAGGTCAGGTGGCACAGGCGTGGCTGTTGGCCCTTGCTCAGGCCACACAATGGTGGACAATGCCCCTTCTGCACCCTGGCCACTGGCTCCCTGCTCTCCTCATCCAGCTGGTCCTGGCTGGGGCCGTGGTGGCCCATGTCGCCCTGCATGCACCTCGAGCGGCCCACACGGGTCCACTAAGCCTCCTTCCCTGCAGCTGTGGATGGCAGGTATGGCCCAGGGGGTGCTGGGGGTAGCCCGGCCCTGGCTGGGGGGCCGGCTGCGGGGCACAGCAGGGGCCGCCTGGCCTGGCCTCCGGCTCCCCCATAAGAACACATCCTCCGTCCCAGGTGCATGGGGTGGGGGTGGACACCGTTGCCATCAGTCCTGCCTTCAAGAAAGTAGGTCAGCATCTCCCCCTTGCCCTTGACGCTGACTTTGCCTCTGCACACGAAGTGGTAGGGGCACTTCCGAAGCAGCCTGTGGACTTCCTCAGTCACCTGTTGGCCAAGAGAAGCCAGGGTCACCCTCGGTGGTAAACAGTGGAGGGGTCCTTAGTGGGCAGGACCAGGGGATGTGGAGGGGCCTGAGGAGTCACCCAGGGAATCCTACTGTCCATTCCCTGGACAAATGGAACCCACTCAGGGCCACTGGGCAGGGGACACCCAGACAAGGAGCAGGGACCTGGCACTAGAGTCTGGGTGAGCCACTGAAGCTACTCTATGCCCTCGTCACAGGGAGAAAGGCAGAAGACCGGGCTGGCCCTGGGCACAGTGGAGTCTGCGCTTCCAAGCCCATGCCTGGGAGGAAGCCCTTGGATGGCAGGGTTGGGTGCCACTGCATCTGGGGCCCCAGGGTGGGTGTCACCAGCACACAGAGGCTGGTGTCGAACTGCCGGGGACAATGGGAGCATCTCTTCACTCCCCTTTCAGATCTCCAGCTAGTATTTCAGCTCGAAGTACTCTCAAGTCCAGAGACAAAGAAGGAGAAATTCCCCTGTGCAGCAGAGCACGGCTGGGTCTCCCTGTTTCATCCTGTAGCTGCTCTCCCCCACCCCGGCCTTGAGATGGTGCCCAGTGAACACTCACATGGGGGACAGCCGAGTGCCCAGCCTGATGGCCTTTGCAGCAGAATGAGGCCGTGACACCAGACGCTGGGGCTTGGCATTTTGCCCGACACTGGGCAAATGCTCACACCTCGCAGGGTCCACAGTGACCCAGCAAGACCAGCACCCAGCAGAACATAGCATGGCAACCGTGGCCACTGAGGGTGGGGTCAGCCAGCCCTGCCCACCAGTGGTCTGTCAGTGTCTCATCCCACAGTCCCCAGAGACCAGCATGGTCATGCACAGGGGATGGGGCTGTCTGTTCAAGGCCTTGCAGACTGCAGCTTGCAGGTGGGTGGCAGGAAGCTCCACGTGACCATGGGGCCTTCTCCGAGTGCACCTCAGGGCAGGTTTCACGCTGCTCTAACAGAAACCCTAAAAGCTGAGCCAGCCCCATCCTGAGGCAACCCAGAAGCCACTATCAGTGGTGCTTAGATGCTGTCCCACCCATGGGGTCTTGTCTCGCCTGCGGGCCCAGAGTCTCTCAGGTGCAGTGCACATGTGCAGTGCCCACCCTCCCCACACAGGCAAAGCCTTCTTCCCTCCTATGGCAGCCAGGCCAGGAGCCCCAGGATGAGGAAGGAGACAGAGCAGCCAGGGCACCAGGCTTAAGGGCCCAACTCTGTGACCCAAAGGGACGCCTGGCCCTGGACCCCCCAGGCTGCAGGCCCAGCGGCTCCCTCCAGGGGCTGTCACCCTGCCCACCACATTGTCCACGCTGCCTCCTGCTGTAGACCTGACGATCACCACTCCACTCCAGTGCCTCAGTTTCCACACCTGCACAATGGGCACTGTGTCTCAGGGTTCCTGGGTGAACTGACCTGGATCCTTCCCTGCACCCCAGTGCTGTCCATCCTACTGGCCACGTTGACCGTGTTTCCCCAGATGTCGTACTGGGGCCTGCGCGCACCGATCACCCCGGCCACCACTGGGCCGACATTGATGCCTGGAAAACAGTCACGGCAGGGTCTGCAGTCACACTGTCCCCACTGGGGACACCTATAGGTCATTCTATAGGTCACCTGTGTCACCTCGGGGCAGGCTCTGACCCGAGCCTCACAGAGGGGGGTGGCACCTGTCCAGAGTCCCCTACACGCTGCCACACGCAGGCTGCCAGGGCAGCTCCTAACCCTCAGCACCACCCAGGCCCAGCAGCGCCAGCCGAGTGTGGCTGGAGCCCTGCTCTGTGACCACAGCATGTCCCCAAGTGTGTCCTGTCTCCTGGATATGGACATAGCAGCTCCTGGCCCTTCTTAGGGTGCAGCCTCTGCTTTGGGGTGTGGGTCCCAGAAGACAGTGCAATGTTCAGGGCTCCGGGGGAGGAAACAGGACCCCCTCCTCCCACAGCTCAGTCACCAGGCCCAGGTGCACAAGGCTGAATCACCCTTCAGGAGATCTCTGTCAAAGCGCTCACCCTCTGTGCCCCAGTTTCCTTCTTAGTGAATGGGGCACACATGCCCTGTGCCGCCTGGCCTGGCCTCCAGGGGGCAGTGTGTGAACCCCGGCCACAGAGCCCTGGCAGCCCACCATGACCAGTGCGGTCCAGGCTGGGAGACACCCACCCTATGTTCCTCTCCATGCGTGTGGACTGACTTTCTGAGCTTGACTGAGTAACTGACTGAGTCCCCAGAGCCACCTACCAACTCGGAGGACAAAATCATTGTAGGACTGGTAGTTGATTTCATCCAGGACATCAAACATCTCGATGGCGAAGTCGGCCAGCGTGCAGAGGTGGGAAGAGATGGACTTCTTAGCCTAGGCAGGAGCAGACGGGAGGGTTACGTGCGGGGGCACCAGGGAAGGGAGAGGGCAGGGGCCAGCTGCACTGGCCCTGGGCCTGGGATCTGATTCCCACCACAGCCCCAGAATCTCCCCCCGGTACCTGGCTGGACACACATTTGCTTTCCCATTCTACGGGAGGAAGACAGCCTGGCAGCCCAGGCTGTGCCCAGTAGGGGTGTGGGAGTGGGAGACGGGTGTCCAGACTCCTGCTCAGACAACGCTCTCACCACCCACTGTCCACTGAGAGCCAGCCATTGCCAGATCAGCCTAAGATGTGCTGCCCTAGCCCAAGGCAGGGAAAGGCCTACAACTGAGGACCTGCCCAGGACCCCAGGCCAGCTGGGCAGGGCTGGACCCGAGCCTGGCATGCGGCCCCCAACTCTACTTACCCTGGTCCCCGCAGTGGGCGCCAGCCCTACTGCAGCCATGTAGGTGCTTCCGATGGTCTTGATCTTCTCTAGGTCCTTGTAAAAGTCTTTGTCCATGAGCTTTGTATAAAACACAAAACTGTTAAACATCACGAGACATCTGAGAGGCGTCACTGCAGCCAACAGGTTCTGGGCAGCACCCTGGCCTCTTCGTTCTGGTACCAGGCAGGGCCTGGGCTGCATTTGAAAGAAGCTTGCAGTGAGACAGCCCGGCACATGCCTCTGTCCCACAGCCATGCTTGCGGCCACCTGGGAGGATGGGGTCTCCAGCAGTGGGGACAGAGACACAGACACGGTGCCAGCTGGGGAAGCACCTAAATCACGAGCCCATCCCTGTGAGGAAGCCATGCTGTCCCAGGCACCACAAATGTCTCACCAGGGTGAGAACCTAGTCCCCAGCCTATCCACCAAGACCCTCCTCTCTAACTGTATAGCACACCTGAACCCCAAGCCAGACAAAGTGAACCTGCTTCTGGGCCCCGGCTTGCTCCCTGTCTGGCTACAGAGAAGGGGGCATGACAGGACACAGCAGACACCTGCAGGATCCAGCTGGGTGAAGGGACAGCCTCGTCAACCCCCAAGCAGGCGGCCCAGCAGCCTCACCTCATCAAAGTCAGCAATGATCTCGTTGAGCAGCCGCAGACACTCCACGCCCATGTTATTGCCATCCAGCTCAATGTAGAAGTCGTTGAAGTTGGGGATGGACGCGAACATGACACCCACCTGGGAGTAGGACTGGTAATACAGGTCCTGCAAGGACACAAGGGTCAGCGGGCTGTGGGACCAAGTCCAGTCCACACACTGGGTGGGCCAGGGTCTCCAAGGGCACACGGCTCCATCCTCCTGGAGCGGGGGCCAGGCAGGTGAGGGAACAGCAGAGAGAGGGACCTCAGGGAAGCCACAAACTCCGCAGGCTATGGGAGAATGAGCAGCTAGGAGGGTGACAAAAAATATGATGTGTGTTTAAATAAACTTTTTTTTTTTGATACCAGGGATCAAACTCAGGACCTTGTGCTTTCAAGGCAGGTAGCAGCACCACTGAGCTAAATCCCCAGCACAAAATTTTTTAAAATTACAATAACAACACTTTGCTAGGAATCCCCTCGAAACACCTCTCCTCTCTTTGAACACACTCATCCCACTGTCCTTGCCACTTTCTGGAGCAGTTCTCGAGTCCTCTTTCCTGAGGATCTTTACAAATGTGATGAAAAATACAGTGAGTGCTGCCGCTGAGTGCCATCCAATAGAAAGACAGGCTCATAAAAACAATACACTGCGTCCTCCTCCACCTTAGTCACCGGATCTGGCACCGTGCGACTTCCGGCTCTCCTCCAAAGTCAGCAGGACCATGAAAGGGAAACGTTTTGAATCGATTCAGGACATCCAAGCAGCCGAGACAGTGCAGCTGCAGACTCTCATGAATGTGGGATAAGCGAGTTTGAAGCAAGGGAGAGTATTTTGAGGGGAATTTCGGGTAATGTGTCTTTTACTGCAATAAAATTGTTCTTTAAACATAAAGATTCACTGTATGTTTTGGTCAGACCCCACCCTTCACATCAAAGCTGAACCTTGGGGCTTTATTCCTGCCTACAGGCCCTAAACAGCACAGAAAGCTCTTTGTGTTTGACCTTGGTCATCATAAGCGTCTGCCCTGTACCCACTGCTGGCTGCAGCTCAGTGCTGCACCCGGTTGGCCGGCCGTGAGGAGCCCCGGTCACCCCCCACGTACCAGGCACCAAGAAGGGGAAAGGGCTCTCCAACCACTTCAAGTAGATGTGACAAAGTATATCCATCACTCCACAGCCCAGCACGCTCTGCCTTTTAAGATATACACTGGCTAATAACCAGCCATCAGGGAAATGCCACATAAAATGTTCAGGCCTGGAGAAAGCTTTTCCTCTCCACATGGGTGTTTTATTGAAGCCCAGCGCCCTCTCTCTCAGGTGCAATGAAAGCTATGTTCCCTTTTATGATCAAACAGCAGAAGAAAAGTAAATCAAAGCAAACCTGCCAACCTGATGTCCCCTGTGCCAGGCCCAGGAGCTACACCTGTAACTTAAGTCACATGCAGGCCACGGGGCTTCCAGTTGCAGGTGGAACAGAGAGCTCGGTCCCCGGCCCCCTGCACACCCTGGAAGGGCCAGCTCAGTGGCGGTGCTCACCATGTTCCGAGGGTTGGACATGAGGAAGTGCTGTGCGACGTGGGCCGGCAGGAGGTTGAAGAGGATCCGCTTATTGTCCAGCTTCACCCTCTCCATGTCGTCCCTCTCCTCTTCTGCCTGGGGACGGCAGGATCGTGAGTCTGGGCGTCTACACCACCCTCACCCGCCGCCACAGCTCCTCTCCAATCACCACACTGGACCCTGGGGGTGCTGTCGACCCACACGAGGGGTCCCCTCCTTCCCAGCACAGCGCTGGGGTTCACGGACATCTGAGAAAGTTTCACAGACATCTGAGAAAGTCGCTACTCCACCCCATTTCCAGGATCTGCCATGCCCTGGGGACCACAGGCTCAAACTCACCCCGCTGCACCAGCCGCAGGGGCCCCCAGGTCTGCCTTGCTCAGAATTCCCAGTGCCAGGCAGCGGCCACCTCCCAGGGCCAGGAGTGTCACCTGGAGCCTCACTGGCCTCCACCTGAGCCCACATCTCTCCAGCACTGGGACAAGATGCTGCAGGGACCCAGCTGGAATGGACCCAAGAGCTGTGCCCACCGAGCACCAGCTCCAGAACTGGGGGGCCCAGCAGGGGACAGCAAGACCGGCCCAGCCCCAGCCTGCCCATCAGCAGCTGATGGCAGTGACAGTGTCCGCCCCACCACGAGCACCACAGAGCATGAGAGGCATCACCCACAGAGACAGAGGGCATGTCCGCATTTACAGGCATCGAATTCCTCAGTGGCCCTTGCACAAAACCTGACCCACAAAAGGAACTCCACCTGTGAAACACATCGTGTGGTGCTCATTCATAGGCACCAGATTCCTGCGTGCAGGAGACAACACAGCACCACGCTCCGTGCGGGCCCAGGCCGAGAGCACAGGGATCCATCCTGGCTGAGGCCCAGGGCCACGAATGCCAGTGCTTCTCCCCGTGCTGCAGTCTCCTTGTATAAAATGGGTCAATACTGCCCCACTTTTTTTTTAAGGTCTAAAAAGTGAAGTCTGTTCTTGGGATTTTGAGGGTCGGCGTGGAGTTGCTAGGCTCAGCCCGAGCAGGGATGTAGGGGCCGTGAGGTACAAGGCCGAATGAGGGTGCTGAGATCCAAGGGTACGAGGCTGGCTCGGACAGGTGGACCTCCCTGCTGACCTGCTCTGGGCAAACAGGCCAGTGCTGACAGGATCTATGGGGACCACAGCAGCCAGGGACAAGGAAAGTCGCCTGGGTCATAACCTCCGGGTCCAACAGAGCCAGGCGCTGGCCACCCAGACAGGCTGGCACTCAGCCTGTCAACAGCAGGCATGGCCACAGGCGGCACCCAAAGGGACTCAGGGGCCCCAGTTCGTGATGGAAAGAGAAACAACGCACAGGAGCAAAGGGCAGCACTTTCTGGGGCAGCAGCAAGGCTCCGGGACAGCTGTGGCTTGGTCTTAGTTTCACTCGAAGATCAACCCCCCCTGGTTTCCAACCTCCGGCTGTCTTCTCACCTCTTGTCCCCATCTATGTAACATTCCCTACATGCCTCCTTCTGCACAACACCTACCACGAGTTATCTGTCAACACATCACACTCCCATATGCATCAAAGAAAAATTTTTAAATGAAGGGGGATAAGAGGAAGAAAATAATATACATATTTTTTACAATAGCAGTTCTCACACCCAGGAGGCTGAGGCAGGAAATCACTGTGAGTTTGAGGCCAGCCTGGGCTACATAGTGAGTTCAAGACCGGCCTGAACTACATAGCAAGACCCTGACTCAAACTTGAAACAAACCAAAAATAAATAAGAATTAAAAGTATAACATGTATTGGTGGCACAAAAATTTTACTCTCACCAAAATATTATGTTAATGTCCATAATATTTTAATGGAAACAATGTAACTGAAAAAGCTTTTATTAAAAACAAAATCTTGGGGGCCAGGTATTTAGCTCAGTGGTTCTGCTGCCTGCCTCACAAGCGCAAAGTCCCAAGTTCGATCCCCAGTACCAAAAAAAAAAAAAAAAATCAAACAAAATCTTGGCTGATCAAACTATGACTGCAAAGATCTGACCATGTCAGCTGGGTCCAGGGACTGTCAGTGTATCTGTCTTTCCTGAGCTGTTATTTATGTTTTTAATTCATTCACAGATGCAAAGATTTTTGATGCAATTTGACTGATAAACATCCAACCTCCCCATGCCAGTTATTCTTATGAACCAAGCAGGAGACCCTGAGTTACCTTGTTGTAATTTTTTAATAAATAATATAAAAATCTACTGAAATTCTCTATTTATAAGACTTTCCAACCAGTAGGGAAAACGCTAGCATTTTCAAGAAAAGCGCCGCTGTAATGGCACAGTCTGTCAACAGCGTCACAGGACGCATCACAACTTTTGTTTTCAGAACGTTTGTTCTCTCGGTGGCAGATTCTTGTAAAAGCTTTCCCTTCTCACTCTGCTTACATTTTAGCAATTATCAACCAGGGTGCCCTGATCTGACCCGATGTGACATTCCAGAGAGGTCACAGCCCAGTGTGCTTGTCATTTGGGAAAAAGAACAAAACAAAACAACAGCAAACAGCCTCGTGCCACAACTCCCTGGGATGCTGGCTTGAGCTGTGGCTCTCAGCGTCACCCTGACAAAGCATCCTGGGCCTAATGAACAAGACAGGCAACCCCAGCCCAGTCCCTGGGATCAGCACCCAGGCCCTGGTAAGGACAGCCCCGCACAGTGGCCCTGGCTGGGAGTTCCATGGGCTCTGCCAGTTGGTTCTTCAATACTGGGCCCCCTATGAATCATCTAGTGTACTTGCGGGGGACTCATTGTTCTCCAGGGTACATCAGCTATTGGGAGGAGCTCAGGGAGGGAAAGGAACTTTCCAAGCACAGGGAGGGGCTGAGATCAAGCACTTCCAGCCCTCTGGGTAGAGGAATGGGCTTCTGACTTTAGGCCAACGATCTCCTGTCACCTCCCCTCAGGAACTGACCTTCAGGGGAGCACCCAGTCACCCAGATCAGAGACAACGCACAACTTTGCCGGCCGCCCTGCCCTCTGGGTGGATGCAGCCTACAGTGAGGGTGGCCCAGACCAGGGAGGCAAGGTAGGGTGCATGTGTCCAGACAAGCCCTGATGTAAGGAGGGCTGGAACACCGGGGGATCCCCAGAACAGACTCCAGTGGTTTCTCCTCCTCCCTGGAGGGTTATAGTGAAGAGAAATAAATCAACACAATTCATAATAGCTAAATCTTGGAAGCAGCCTATATCCATCAACAGATGAATGGGTAAAGAATATGTGGTATTTATACGCAATGGAGTACTACTCTGCCAAAAAGAAGGATAACTTTGAGTCATTTGTAGGAAAATGGATGCACCCTGAGACATAATGTTGAGGGAAGTAAGTATCACACAAGCTTAAATATCACATGATTTCTCTTATATGAGAAACCCAAAGTATAAATAAAGAGAAAATAAAAAACTGATAATAGGAAGCAGGGAGACAGATCTTTTTCGAAGGGCATCAACAGATGGAGGGAAGAAGGCCGGGATTTAGCTCAGTGGTGTCACCGCCTGCCTCACAAGCGCAAGGTCCTGAGTTCGATCCCTATTACAAAAAAAAAATTCTGATGGAAGAGATGGAGGGAAGAAAGAGAAAGGGGATGAAAAAGGAATTCTGATGTGTTATGTACATGTACAAACTCCACACAGGAATGTAAACATTATGTACTACACACATGTACTGGTAAAAATATATTTAAAACTTTTTAAAATTAATATTGACTTGGATACTATTGATATTAGTTAGGCAAAGACAATAAAACATTTACTAGGAATGCATTCCATACATTCAAGAAAAGAAACTAATGTTAAATACATAGAAGATATGAAAAGACTCATATCTAACTTCTGAAAAAACTGTCAGATCTGAGATAAAAAATGGAACTAACAGTAGATTGGACACTTCAGTAGAAAGATTACTAAACTTGACACAGTTGCAAAAAATATCGAAAATGAAATTTAGAGGAGAAAAGAACAAAATAAATGAACAGAGTATTAATAAAGTGTGAGACAACGTCAATAGGCCTCATATGTATAATGAGGGTACCTGGAGAAGGAGAGAGACAGAAAGCGGGGAGAGATGATAGAATAATATGGGAATAAATAATGCTATGATTTTCCCATGTTTTATGGAATTATAAACCCACGAGTCCATGAACTCAACAAAACCCAAGCATACAAAGCATAGTAGAAACTACATCACAGGGCATAACACACATTCGTTCGACACATGGACTTTGGGGGACACAGATATTCAATCCATTATAGACACACTCTGTGGTAAGGTTCTTACACTATGTATGAGGTCAGGGCCCAGCACTGGAAGATGACTATGTTACATACCTATTAAAATAATACAGCAAAGAGATACAGCTAATAAGAAAAATAATAATAACAATCAGATTAAGCAGAATAATAAAAATAACCCAAAACAGGCAGAAAAAAGATGAATAAGGAAACGAAGTACAATGGGGTCAGTAAGAGACAGCAAGATGGTAGACTAAAATCCAATTGTATCAATAGTCACATTGTAGACAGTCTTAATGGTTCAAAGGGAAAAGCTGATAAACTGGATTAAAAAAAAAGCAAGGCTCAATTATATGTTGCTTAGAAGAAATCCACTTTGAATAAAAAAACATAAATTGGTTAAAGATAAAATGTTGCCAAAAGATACAACCGGAAAGCTGGATCACTTATATTAACATCATAGTAGACTGCAGAAGTAAGGATGTTACCTGGGAAAGAAGCTTTTTTCTAAAATGTAAGAGGGTGATAAGGGGAAAATTTATCTACAGGGCATAATTCTATTTTTATTTTTTGGTTCCGGGGATCAAACTCAGGACCCCGCGCTTGTGAGGCAGGTGGCGGCACCACTGAGCTAAATCCCCGGCCCCATAATTCTAGATAGTAAGGCACCAGATCATCAAATTACACAAAGCCAAAGTTGAGAGAAGCACAAGAAGATTACAGCTGGAAATCCCAGCACCCCTCTCAAAAATGTATAGAGAAACCGAACAGAAAATCAACCAGTTGACTTAATTGCAATTTCTAAAACACACCACCCAACAGTGACAGGATACATATTCTGTTCAAGAGCACATAGAACGTGGACATACAAGTCTCCAGAAATTAAAAAGGATTCAAATCACACTGTGTCTATTCTTGGGCCACATTATAATTAAATAAGAATTCAACAACTAAGAGAGAAAATCTGGGAAAATCCTCAACTAAAGAACATACTTCTTAAGACTTTTGGTTCAAAAAAGAAATCAGAAGGAAATTTAGAAAATGATTTGAATCAAAGGAAAATGAAATGGCATATAATACTAATATTTGTGGAATTCATCTAACGTAGAATTTACAGGCAAACTCAAAACATATAGCATTCATATTAGAAAGACAGACAACTCTCTCAAATCACCTAGGAAAATAACATAATCGAATCCAAAGTAACCCAAAGAAATTAAATAATGCTGATCAGTTTTGATCACTATTAAAGGGATCACAGGGAACACTGGAACCCATTTTATGTCAAGAAAATAGACAACTTTCAAGAAAGGATTTAAATTTCAAAACTACCTCCAAAAAGAAATGGAAAACCTGAATAGTTTTCTATCTTTAGAAAAGCTGAACTTTAGTTTAAAGTTTCCTCACCAACCAACCAACAAACAAAACCTCCAAGTCGGAAGGACTTTGTGTCACCTAACAGTTGAGGAGGAAACATTACCCAATTCTACATAGTCTTCCAGAAAACGGGTAAGGGTAGAAGATTCCCTCCTCGTTTTATGAGGCCATTGTAACTGTGACCCCACACCAGGGGAAGACACTGCTAGGGTGTGGAGCGGTTTGTCCCCAAGGGTTAATGTGTCAGGGCTGGGTGTTCTATGGGAGGCTCTATCTGTGTCTGTGCTAGGGACAATCTGTGGGCAACCTTGCTTCTCAGTTAGTGATGCTACACACAGTGGAATTGGCCTCACATCAGGAACTCCTGGGCAGACAATAACTGCCATCGATTCTACTGAGCATAAACATTGACATTATAATTGCCATGGTGATTATCTACTGAGATCAAAGAAAATAACAGCCCAAGGACAAACACACCCCAACAGTTAGGATGTCATCATGAGGGAGAAGCCCATCTATTTATGCAAGTTTGTATGGCCAAGCTGGTCTCTAAAAATAATTAACCTACCTAGCCTTTGGCCTGAAAATTGAGCAATAGTTTGGGGCACTCTGATTCCTCCATAACCTGTCCTCCGTAAATGTCCAGGAGGCAAACACACAGTCTAGAAAGTTCTGTCTTAGCTGGGTTATGGGAAAGTGAGGTGATGTTTCTCGTTACATGTCTATGGAAAAAATGTCGGCATGCTCCAGTGAGCAACCCCTCCCTCCAACCCCCCAGTGCCAGTGAACCCCAGTGACATCCATGCCCCAAGTTTGCGGGTGGGCGATGGTGGGGAGTGGTCACATAGAGCATCACACGGCAAGGTCACCATGGGCTCTAATCACATTTAAACATTGCATTTGATACCAAATATGACAATTTAAGAACCAAACCCAAGAAAAGGCCAGGCCAACCCAGATGAGAACAAACACCTCCCCCAGGTCACATCCCACAACTGGGGGTCACAGCCAGGGCCTCCACCCACTTCCTTAGAGTTCAAGGCCAACTAGTGGCCTACTGAGTCACCATACCGACCCCATCTTGTGGTCCCACCGACCCAGCTTCCTGGCTCTGGGGGATTCACACCCAAAGGATCTCACACCGGAGGGGCCAGCAGATGGCAGGGTCAGCTGGTCTCAGGGGCCACCCCGCTGGATCATATCCGACAGCCGGTGGAGCTGGACAAAGCTGCAGCCGGGAGCACAGTCTAAACCACAGAGGCTGTCCTTTACCTGGCGTGGCTCCGGCTGACTGCAGCCAGCCATGGGTCCTTTCCAGGAACCTGTATGTGGTGGTGCCTGTGGCCAGCTGCTCCCCATGACACGACCAGGAAGGCCAGGTGACCTGAACAGTGCTGACCAGTAGGCGCCCTGGCCCCTGCTTCCTGTTGGGCTGCGTCAATGGGGAGCAGCCACAGGATTCGTGACTTTCAGCCAAGGGACACCCACGGTGACCAAGCCAGGAGAGACCCAGCACACCATCTTCCCTCACTCCAGGCCCAGCCAGAATGCCAAAAAGAGATTCCAGTCACTCCAGGTGACTTGGATTAGGGTTCTCGCCCCATTACCCTGCTGGAGGGAGGAAAATGTGGCCAATCACTGTGCCTCAGGAAGTGGCTGGAACTGGGGGCCAGGACACCTACGCCAGGCCCAGCCCTTGCTGCTCCTGCTGCCACTGACCAGGGTGTTGGTCCTCACTACACTGCCACTCAGCCTCAGCCATGAAACACCTGGCACCCTCAGCTCGTGTCCACGGTGAGCCTCTGCTGCTTCCGGCCCCGGCTCCTCTCCACCGTCCTCCGGCTACACCCATCTGGGTTCACAACCCCAAACTTGAACAGGGTCCCGAAGTCCGGACTGCAGACTGGAGGCTCCAGGCTGCGGACCACCTCCCCACTCCTCCCGCCCCAGACTCTGCTCACACCAGGGGACCAGAGCCCACTTGGGGTCATATGGACAGCCCTGGATCCTGGCTCAGACACCCACGGCTGCTCAGCCCTGGCACATCCGTGTGTGGCCCCATCTTCTCACGTGTAACACCCCCTCCCCGAGAGGGAACGTCACAGCTTCAGGAGCAGAGATCGTTTCCAAGCCAGGCCTATCATCCCAGCACTCGGGAAGGCTGAAGCAGGAGGATCACCAAGTTCAAGCCCAGCCTGGGTGACTCATTGACTTAGAGAGACCCTATCTCAAAAAGAAAAAAAAAATCATCTTGCAAAAACCAAGATTCCTCAGCCTCCAGTCGCAGTCTGCAGGTGGGGAAAGGGAAGACAGCTCTGTGGACAGCATCTGGGCCTGCGTAACCCGGTGAGGGCCCACTGCTTCGCACCCCACCAACCTGCAGGGTGCGAGGTGGCTGGGGCAGAGCCCATATGGGTGCCAGCAGGTGGTGCCCTCCCTGCTGAGTCTCCCACAGGGCTCCACAGGGCCTCCCACCAGAATCTCTGGGGAGCTGATGAAAATTCAGATTCCTAGTCCTATGGACCAGACCGAGGCCACCCTCCGGCCCCCAGAGCCTCGGCTCCTTGGAACATCACCACCACTCCTGCCTGGGACAGGGACCCACTGCTGCACAGAACAGCCTCACTGGCCCCAGCTGCCCACCCACCGCCCACAGCATCTGTGTGCTCTCCCCCACCACAGCCCCACTGCCTTGCCGTCTGGCTCCGTCCGCTCTGAGCTGCAGGCTGGCGAGCTGCTGGGTAAGGGCCCCCTCCCACCCCAGGGGCAGACAGAGCCCATCTTGCCTGTGCTGCCCAGAGGTAGTCCAGCCGCAGCCTGACGTCCACCTGCCTGGCGTGCAGGGCCAGCGTGCAGGAGAAGAGCAGGATGGCCATGATGGGCTCGTAGCTTCGCCCAGAGAGGGCTCCACCCCTGGGGAGACAAAGGAGGAGACGGGCAGACAGCAGCCGAGGGCTCTGCCACCGGGATGGACCCAGGACCCAGGCTTCAAGTCTAAATGCTTGAACCTGGCTGAGGAGGAGAAACGGCAAAGCCACCCGACTCAGGCCTTTGCCTGTACAGAGTCCTTACGCATCTGCACACTGGCAGCTGCTCTATGGAGCTTACTCAGAGTTCCCTAGTGACACTGCTGGCGTCCACACCCCGACGAGCCCACTCACCCTGCCTTGGTGTAGCCACTGAGCTCCAGGACGAGGATGTAGGACGTGGTGAGCCCAGACAGCAGGATCATCTTTGGCAAGGAGGACACCCGCAGGAATATGGCTAGCGGGAGGGTGCCCACCAGGCAGCACAGCAGGGCGTGGTGGGCAGACTCACAGGGCAGGGCGGGCAGCACAGTGCGCCGGCCGCCGGCCGCCAGGACCACCAGGGAGCTGTTGGACTGGGAGCTCCAAGCCCAGGGCAGGCAGCCCACCTGGGGAGCGAGGGACACGCGGCTCAGGAAGCAGGGGGGCCCAGCCTCCCAGCACCCCAACCTCACTATAACCACCCACCAGGCCCCACCAGGCCCTGCCAGGCCCCTGGGATCAGTGGAGCTCCCGCGGTCACCCCTGACCTTGCCGCCCGGAGCCCAGCGTGCTCACCACGCATCCTTGGGCCACGGAGTAGATTAAGACCACGATGAACACGCACAGAACGGTGCGGATCTGGATAGTCAGGCACCCTGGAAAACACTGGGCAAGAAGGCATTTTGTTCTTAAACTCTGATCACAAAGTGATCCAAACACAGTAAAGAACCTACAAAAGCAAACTGCCAGTCCCATCTCTCCCTGCCCTGCATCCTCCACACACTTCTTGTACTCCCAGGTGAGGAACTCTCCATAGTGAACAAACAATCCAGAACATCGCAGTCTTTAAAAAGCACAACCCCCTTCCCTCTGCCGGGCACTGTGACTGATCAGCAATGAAATTCACAAAGTAGACTAAAGTTGACATTTTTATTACACTGAATTCAGTGGATTCAGGAGCAGTAAGAATTTCCACTCATTTGTGTCTCCTTTCATGTCCTTTAGTTAAGTTTTATCACATTCTTCACACCGATTTTATATCATCCTTAAGTTACTAGGAATTTTATTTTTAAATCTTCTTTATTTTAAATACAACTTGAAATATTCAACACATGGCTTCAGGAAGAAAAGGAAAAAGTCCTTTGAACACTCAGATTCCTAAAAATACAATTACAGACTGAAATAAATACACACAGCACCTTAGAGAAAGCGACAGCAGCGGCCAGCCCCGGCCTATGATAAAGGCATCTACCTGAAGTGAGAAGTTTCAAACCCAAGGTCATTCAGCCTACAGAAGACGTGGGGCTGCGAATGTGCTTTCAGTAAATAGTATCTTAGAGCCAGGCATCTGGAAGCTGAGGCAGAAGGATGGAAAGTTCAAGCCCAGCCTAAGCAAATGAGTGACTTAACAAGACCCTGTCTCAAAATAAAAAATAAAAAAGGACTGGGGCTGTAGCTCAGTACAAAGACCCTGGGTTCAGTCACCAGTACTGCAATAAATAAATAGCATCTTCTTAATTTAGAAAAAAATCAAGATGGTACCTATGAAAATGGTAAAGTTAATAAACAAAACCAGACTTCATCGTTTCAAGAAGTTACTGTTTTCAACAATGAGGCACAAAATAACACAGCGTCTACCAGAAGTGGCAATTGCTGGGGAGATGGGGCACTTGGGATGAAGGCCAGGGTGTGACAGAGCGATGCACAGAATCCACAGAGCAGGGCCGGCACCCGTGGACACGTGGGAAGCCACCTGACCCTCCCACACCCTGCCTGCTGTGCCCAGCAGCTGGGTCCCGACAGCGTGGTGCCCGGCACAGGCCTGGGTACCAAGCAGCTGCTGTTTCCCGCTCAGCAGGCTGCAGGTACCACCCCCGGGACCCAGAGCAGGGGACACAGGGAGGGGATACAAACGACAGTACCTGGACGCGGGTGATGTGCAGGTACAGCACACAGGCAACCAGGAAGCAGATGCAGAACACAAGCAGGAGCAAGATGGCCACACTCCTGGGGACAGAGGATGCAAGGGTCGCTGTTGGGCAGGGCCTAGGGAGGTGGGCCCAGCATGTACCCAAAAACCCCGAGCCAGCACTCCTCCCTCCACCATGCCAGCATCCGGGCCTCTGGCTGCCTGCCCTTGGGTCCCTGGGGCTGGGCCACATGGAGTTCTCCCTGGGGAAAGCACTGGGCCTCCTGTGTGACTCTGCTGAGTCCACCCCACCCCCGTTTTGTGACACCCCCCCATCCCAAAATGGAGCCTAAGTCGAGGGTCCCCAGGCTGCCGGACCCTTTCCTCCGAGGGGATGAGCAACCCTCCTGCCGGCTGCCTGGGAAGGGTGTTTGGAGAACAAGTCTGAACCCCAAACAGGGCCCTCGGGTGTGGCCATGTTCACAGAGCCCCTCCACTGGGCAGGTGCGGCCTCCAAGGGCTTCCTGGAAACTCAGGAGCCACTGCTCCCCCTTGTGGGTTTCATTAGGGAACAGCAGAGTCTGGGGGGAAAACGAACAGGTGGAGACATCCTGGGGTCCTGCCTGCCCCCAAACAAAAACTGCCAAACACACTGATCTGTGGGATGATTAACTATTAAAATCACTAGTTTCCTTCCTTCTCGGAGGCTGCTTTTTCTCATTTTCATGTTTCTGAAAACGATGTGAACCTAGAAACCAACAAGAACATTTGGGGCACTGTCTGTCTCCCCCTCCAAAGTTCTTATAAGCCAATGGCACAGGTCATGTGGATAGAGAACTCGAAAATATACGGAATTAAATCCACAACGACAAGACCCTCACTGCATGCTGTCCAGGCTTGCTGAGCTATTGGCCTGGGTAACTAGAACTGGAAGGTGGCCGATGCCTGCCCCAAGTGCCAGACCGATGGGAGGGTAACTGGGAAGTGGATCTTGAACATAAAACGGCACCTAAGCTGGGTGAGACGATGCACATGTGTAATCGTAGCACTTGGGGAGGCTGAGGCAGGAGGCTCTCAAGTGTGAGCATGGGTAACGTAGGGACATCATTTCAAAATTTAAAAACTATAAAAAGGGATGGGGATGTAGGTCTGTGTGAAGGTCCTCGGTTCAATCCTCAAGACTGAAAAAGAAAAAAAACCCATGGCTACCAACCCGGCAGACTTGGACTGGTTCTTGGTGACTCTGCCACATCCCCGACCAGAAGGGCACTTACTGTGGGATTACCAGAAGGTAGATAAGGCCAAATAAGGCAGCCAGGATGAGGGCGAGGACTACGGCGCTGGTGAAGTATTCGTCCTGCAGCTGGTGGTACTGTGGGCAGAGAGAGCCATCAACCCACGGCTGGCCGCGCTTCCAGACACGTGGGCCCCCCCGGACCCGGGCCGCCCCAGCCGCACCTTCCGCTCCCGCTCCACGTGCTTGTACTTGAGTGTGAAGAAGTTGAGGTCGGCCATCTCCAGCTCGGGCTGCCGGGCCTCCAGCAGCCGGCTGATGTACCTGTTGACCCGCGTGCCCGGCGTGGTGTAGACCACGTTGGCGGAGAAGGACGAGCGGTTCCGAAGCTTTTCCGAGGCTGTTCTCAGCGCCCTCCGCTGCGGCCGAGATGGAAATAAAGCAACTCGGTCAAACCGCACTGTGTGAAGAAAAGCCCTGGCCCCGGCCCTGCGCGGGCCTCTGCGACCCACCAGACGCGGCAGCACAGCTCTGCCCTCTGCTGGCCTGCGGCGGCGCGGAGGGGTGGCCGGACTTGGAGCTGGGGCTCCCAGGTCTAAACTGCGAAATGACCCCACTGACAGCACCACGCAAGAACTGCGGGGTGCCACCATGTGAAGTGCGGGATGTCCCCGGGACAGAGCAGTACCTGCACCTCGAAGCCAACTCAGAAGACCGGATTCCCTAGAGAACAGGGCAGGGCTCCTGTCCCCTGCTTCCAGGAGAGCGGGACAGCAGCAAAGAGGTGACCTCCCCATTCCCTGCGGCTGAACCCTCCTCTGAGACCGGGCCGGGAGGATGCAGAAGGCACCAGCACCCCAAAAGGAAAAGGAGTCTCATTGGAGGCCATCGCCTGCTCTGGCAGGCTCCGGGGACAGGGCCTTGGAGCTTCCCACACTTTGGGGGGAAGCAGGAGCGTGGAAAGGACGCAGTCCTCACAGCTCCTGAAGAGATGGGATAAACACTCCGCCTTGGGAGTCGTCCTGGAGGGGAGAACTCTGACACCGCAGAGTCAAGGCAGGGCGGCTGCAAAGGGGGAAAGCAGCTTCCGGTTTGCTCACGGCGCAAGCGTGGGGTGCTTTGCATTGTGGGAACTCCTTCCTTTCTTTCTCCCCTGCCATTTTGGCGGCTGCTTTTGGTCAGGGGCTGTCCCACATCTACGGCAGAAAGGTGGTGGCCGCAGAGAAGACGAAAAAATCTCTGGAGTCCATCAACTCTAGGCTCCAACTTGTTATGAAAAGTGGAAAGTACGTGCTGGGGTACAAGCAGACACTAAAAATGATTAGACTAGACGGGAAAGTGAAATTGGACATCCCCACCAGCAACTGCCCAGCTTTGAGGAAATCTGAAATAGAGTACTATGCCATGTTGGCCAAAACTGGTGTCCATCACTACAGTGGCAATAATGTCGAACTGGGTACAGCATGTGGAAAATACTACAGGGTATGCACACTGGCAATCATTGATCCAGGTGATTCTGATATCATTAGAAGCATGCTGGAACAGACTGGTGAAAAATAAACCTTGCACATTTTTTCATTAAAACCTGCCAGAGCTTATTTAAACGGGGGGGGGGGGGGCAGAGACCCCCTTTTTGGGGACTCAAAGAAAAACTGAGTGCGGGAGGGCCTGTCTCTTTCTATCTTATCTCAATATCCCAGGCCAGGACCCGGAGGAGCCCAAGCCCTAGGAATGCAGTGATGGGCAGAGCCCCAGGAGGGCCTGTTCTCTCTGGCCAAAGGACCAAGAATTATGCAGCCTAGAAAAAGAGAAAACTTCCAGAAAAATCTGCACCCATCCCAGGAAAGTGAGCTAAGGCCATGTGGGAACCTGGACTTCCGCCCTCCCAAGGCCCCAGGGGCCACTGCCCAGCCCACTGAGACAGCAGCAGGAGAACCAAACACAGTCTGGATGCACTGCATCCCGAGGTGCCCAGGAAGCCCTCACTGGAGGCCTCTGTCTAACTGTGACATCAGGGAAGATGAGTGCACTACCTGGGCTTCCATTCCTGCCTGGCAGGAACAAGACAGCACTCCCACTACACCTTACACGGTCGGAGGAGCCCCAGGGATCCGGCCCATCACTTACAAATGAATCATCAAAGGGCACAACCACCACGAGGATCACCCTAACCTATGCTCAAAAGCATTTCCGAAAATCCAGCATCCACTTTTCTTTAAAAAAAAAAAATACAAACCCTTGAAAGAACTAGGCATATCCTACTCCTAGTCTACAGTCACAATTGGTGGGAAGACCCCATTTATTTCACTACTAGAGGCAGAATGAAAAAGAATGCCCACCCTTATTACTGTCACTTCATTTACTACTGGACGGAGAAGATGAAGCACAGTCATCACCATTCACAGTGGGTCTTACTGTAGACCTGGAAAATCCAAGAGGATTGAATAGAACACCATCACAATCAGTTTCCATTAGTGAGCTAAAATTTTATCTTTGATAAATTCGGACAAGTAAGGTGGAAATTATCCTTCCCAAAATAATCCCTAGCCACATTTACACAAAAAACCCAGGGCTGACAAGTTGCTAGCAGATTGGAAACAGGAGAAAAGGCCCAGCGTGGGACATGCAGGCAACACTGAAGCATGCTGGGAGCTGGGCAGGCTGGGGCTCAACCACCAGGGCTGGAGGGGGCAGTGCTTGGGGCGTGTGGATTGCCAAGGCGCTCCATAACCCGCGATTTCACCACCAAGAAATACCCGGGCTCCTGTCCTGTTCGCCCAGATGTTTGCCAAGATGGTGCTGTGGACATAAAACCACCACCTAGAAATGAAGTCCCTGCCTGAGACAAGCCAGTGGCAAAGTTGGGTCTGTGCCACCCCTGGGGGCCAGGCGGTCACATAGGAGGGACCAGGACTGGATTAGCATTGCATCCAGTACCCCCGAGGCCCGTCATGTGTGAAGACTGCCCCCCACACAAAATGCTCAGTGCCCAACCTACACACCCCTCCTGGCGCATGCACAGAAGCATACTCGAAATGGCAAGGGCTTTGGAAGACTTAAGGTCTGCATCCTGGGTATGTGTTGCTTTTATTCATTTCTTTTTCATCAATAAGGTCAGATAGTGGAATATGGCGAGAGGGGGCTGTGGCATGTTAGGAAGTGAGAAGGGTCCCCCACCTGGTGGCCAAGCTGGTGACCGGCATCACAGCCTCAGTGAGCCCACCCAGGCTTCCCTCGACTCAGCCATTTCCCAGACAGAAATGCACTCCGGTGAACGGCAAAGCTGTGCATAATTTGTTTCACTTATAAGACACAGAAATGCCCTGAATACCAACGGAGTCTGGCCACATATGTGCTCTTTTCTTAGGCCGGAAAGCTACACATGGTAGGAATGCTTACTAATATAGGGAAATCTTTATGTACACTGGCAAGGGAAGGAGAAACGAGCAGCCACACTGCTTGTCTATCATCCAACTGAGTTTATTTTTTTTTTAATTAAACCAGGCCTGGTGACGCATGCCTGTGGTCCCAGCATTTTGGGAGGCTGAGACAGGAAGATGCCAAGTTTGAGCCTGGCATTAAGGTGAAGGGAGGGCAAGAGATAAACTAGCAATCTAGGGAGAGCCTGTCTCAAATTGAAAATTTTACAAAAGATTGGGGAGGTAGCTCAGTGTGAAGGGCCTGAGTTCAATCCCCGGTACCACAGACACACACACTCACTCACACACACTCACACACACACATACAAGGTACAGACACACAAATTTAGAGAGTGATAGGTCTCCCACTACCTCAGCAGCTATTATGTATGGTAGCTGCCCTCTTCCTATGGTGCCTTGCCCCCTCCCCTGTGTGATGTCATGCCAAGATGGTTGCTCCCACCAAAGAACAAACCCTTCTTCCCACCATGGCCCTGTTCCCACCTAGAGCGTAACCTAATACTCGCTCACCTCCTACCACCTAGTGACGTCACCGGCTCCTCCAATCCCTAGTCACTACGTCAATCAACCCCGCCTCAGCCCCTACAAACCCCACCCCAGTCTCTATAAAAGACTCTCCCCCCCTGCCCCAGCCATATTGCTTTTGTCTCTCCTTGTTCAGAGACAGCCCAGCAGATCTATTCCCCTAATAAAGGCTTGTTGTGGCCTGGTCTGGTCTTGGTCTTCGGCTTTTTACCTGACAGACAGCTGGAAGGAACTGTAACAATAAGGTTTTTGTAGGATGAGAGGATTGCAGACAAACATTTTTCATTTCCTTCTTCGTGTAGTTTTGTATTTTTCCGTATTTTCCGTGGGAGATGCTTTTATCATCAAAGGAGGGCGTTCAGAGGACAGACATAGCAGGTGTCTGTGTGTCGGGGACAGGCCAAACCCCAGGAGCGGATGTGGGCAGAGCGGAGGGGACCCTGGGCCAGGCGCCTGCAGAACTTTCTTCTGGGCCAGTAGTGATAAACCTATAGCATGTGTGTTGTTTTTCTTTTAAGACAAAAGATGTTCATGTATGAGTTGTCTTTCTAAACTAAAACCTCAGTATTCAGGTTTGAGTTCGGTGTTGGCGCTTTGTGATAAATAAGGGCTCTGGGGCTCAGTCTCAAGGAGGTTCCCATCACTGTACTGGGCCCATCTGTGCAGGTCCCGTGAAATTCGGCTTTGGCAGACACCACCCGGTCCTCAACACTCGCTCACCCTCAGACTCCATTCTGCCTGCAGCCCCACCAGCCCTCGGTGCCTGCCTCCGGGCCTACCCGCCGCAAGAGTTCTCTTGGGCCGGTGTAGTCAGGGTCCCCAGAGCCCACTGACCACCCCTGCTCCCTGGAGCTGTGCCTGGAGGCAACTCCAGCCCTCTCCCCACTCCGAGGCCCCACTGTCACGGCCCTGCTCCTGTGCAGAGGTCCTGAATAAAGTCAGCCTCGCTGCACTCTAACAAGCGTCACCAAGGATTGCTGACTGATTTTTTTTTTTTTGGTAGTAGAGATTGAACCCAGGGTCTTTGCACTGAGCTACATCCCCAGCACTTTGTAAAATTTTTTAAATTCCAAGACAGGGTCTCACTACGTTGCCCAGGCTGGGCTTAAACTTGCCATCCTCCTGCCTCAGCCTCCCCGAGTTCTGGGACTACAGGCGTGCACCCCTGCCCCCAGTTATGATTTCCTTTCACTACCACCCCAACTTCCACCCCTGGCCTGGACTCCTGTGCAACACCAACCCTGATCAGTGGACCCTGTATCCCTAAATGGGCAGACCCCGAGAACACTGGTCCCCGGACACAGGAGGGCTGCAAGTCACCCCGCAAAGAGGACACGCTGGCACCCCCAAGCCATGCCCTGGGCCAGGAGGCTAGTGCTCCCACCCCAGCCCAGCCCAGCTCCATGCAACTGCCCCAAACTGGGCTGGAGGTGCAGGTGTGCAGAGGGCAGGGAGGGGACAGCGGGCAGAGGCCTCCGCAGCGAGCACCTGACCCTCGGGTCCCACCTGGGACAGATGGCAGTGGGGACATCAGAACAGCAAAGGTTTTCTTTCCGTGGATGCCGGGCTAACTTCAGCCTCTATCCATGGGGAGATCTGAGGCCTGGGGGAGGGCAGCTGCCCAGGGACAGAGGCTGTGCAAGGGGCAGAATTAGCACTGTGTGCAGCATGGTCGGGGCAGAGCTCAGGGTGAGAGTGGGGAAGGAGGAGGGGCTGCTTTGGCAGCATCTGGCAGAACTGGCCTGCATTGGCCGACGTGCAAGGGGTAGGCAACCCGCAGGCAGAGGGCACTGCACAGGTGGGGCAGAGGTGGGTGGAAGGAACCCCGAGGGAGGCGCTGGGACACGGTGACAGCCAGATGGGGTCAGGCCCAAGGCAGCAGGCGCAGTGTCGCTTCCTCGCATCACCTAAGCCATGCACCTGTGTGGGAGCCTGGAGAGGCTCAGGGGATCAGGGACCGGGGCTCAGGCCCCTGCGCGCTCAGGTAAGGCCAGAAGTGTGCCCTCTGTCCAGGAGGACCAAGGAGACACAGGGGGCAGAGGTGAAGTGGGGACCCCATTCAGTGCCCCGAGGGGCAGGAGGAGGGTGCAGATGTCAGGCTGCGCCTGTGGAAGCGAGATGCTCTGGAGCGCTGAAGCCCAGCTGCATGTCTGTGTCGGTGGAACAGGAAGGCAGCTGAGCTCCAGCCCTGCAGGACCCCAGGCCAGGCTGAGGGGATGCTGCACAGGGCAGGGCTGCCCAGCCCGGGTCGGGAACAGCACAGGCGCTGAGGACTCCTGGGCACCAGGCACAGGGCAGGGGCTGCAGGCTCCCGTGGCAGAGCCTGGGGAGTGGGTCTGCAGCTCCCGAGAGGCACTCAAAGGCAGCCGCTGGAGTCACCTGTGACCTGTGTGGGGACAGCGGCCGGCTCCCAGATGCCACTCTCCCAGGGCACAAGCGCCCCCTCCATATCTTGGCATGACATTCGGCTGAAATATGTGAGAGCCCGCTCGCTATGCCCAGGAAGATGCCCGCATCCTGGAGTCTTAGTAAACCGGTGCCCCTTAGCAATTGAGCAGGAGTGGCCCCTGCCCAGCTCCTCCGGGACATCCAGGCCCTGGAGGCTGCCGACTGCCTCTTTTGCCTCGGGCTCAACTGCTCTGTGCTCTTCCTATCATTTCTAATTTTTATTTCCTGTTCCTCATAGATGCTTTTGGATTATATTTGGTTTTCAAAATGTATTGCATGAAAATGTTCTTAACTCGATGACTACATTTAGGACACACTATGAAACTGTGCACCTGGCTTGCTCCACCCTGTTCCTTGCCCTGCTGGGGACCTGGGAGGCAGAGAAAGACAGAGATTCCACCTAGTAACAGCCTCAAAGTTCTGTGGTTACATACTGAATAAAAAAATGTAAGCATGCACACAAATGCACACACACGGACATTTAAAAAAGCACAACTGAACTGACAGGAGGCAAGGGAAATTATCAGAAGCCAGAGCCTTCAAGCAGGGCCTCTAGATAGGGCAGGAAGGCTACGGCCAGTGTCCACCTCGCGACGGCACACGGGACCCCCTCTGAATGGGGCAGGACACCCTTGGAACTCCTTGCCTGATCAGGACCCAGGATATCTAACAGTCAGCACTCAAGCATGTAGTTTAAACCAGCCCCAGCTGCCTGACAGGTGTAAAAGTCAATCTCCGAAAGAACACACTCGAAGAAAATTCTTCTGGAATTCTCAGATAAGGTTCTAGCAAAGATGAGCTTTTACACACAAATCCTGTGGTGAGAAGCCACCATGTGCAAGAGACAGTGGGATCTTGCTTCTTCCTGAAGTCCAGCAAGAAGCCTATTTTAAAAGGCAGAAGGTGGGTGTGGTGGTACACACCTGTAATCCCAACACTTGGTTGGGAGGCTGAGGCAGGAGGATCACCATGAGTTCAATGCCAGCCTCAACTACATAGGGCGATTCTGTCTCAAAAAAAAAAAAAAAAAAAGGTGGGCTGGGGATTTAGCTCAGTGGTTCCACCACCTGCCTCACAAATGCAAGGTCCAGAGTTCGATCCCCCAGTACAAAAAAAAAAATTCCCATTAAAAAAAAAGTCATAAAACCCATAGAGGTGGGGAAAATGAAGCCAGATAAAGCAAAGCAGCGTGAGTTCAGAAAACCTAAACTGGGCCTGATGCTGTGGCCCCAGGGGGCTGGGTGTGCTCGGAATGGGGCGCTGGTGGCTGTGGTGCTGTCGCTCACAGCCCTCCAGGAGTTGGTGACGGAGCCCGCAGGTCACTCACACTCCCGGGACAGGGCCCGCTGACTGCCCAGTGGGGAAACCAGGGTGTGCAGCCCAGGGTTACAGACACAAGGCCCGGGTGCTGGAAGTGAGGGGCTCCCATGCCCCCCACAAAACTGCAGGTGACAGTGACCAACCTAAGAAGAAAGGAAGAAAATCACAGTCCCCACAAGAAGCCCAAAGAGGACAGCTCTCCCCAGTCAGCCCCGCCACTGGGCTCTGTAATTCCCAGTTCTAATCAAGAACAAAACTGGAAGGACTTGGGCATCTATGGAAGATGGAACTGTAAATAAAGGCAAAAAATGGGGTAAAGGTGCTCAGGGAAACAGAGGTGTTTCTGAGACAAAAGAAGTATATATTTAAAAAAACTCAGTGAGACAAAAGGGAAAAATACACATCCCTGAAGTGGGAGGATTTCACAAAGAATATACAAAAAACAAAAAAAATTTATGAAAGTTTTTAAAAAATCTGGTTCAAGAAATGAAAAGCTCAACAAAAGTATTGGGTAATAAAACTAAACAAATTTCCCAGAAAATGGAAGGAGTGGAGAGAAAGAGGAGGAGAATTAGACCAGTTCAGGGGGTCCAACAACCAAATAACAACCGTTTTCTGGAAAAGTGGCAGGAAAGAAATAATCAAAAAAGTCACCCCTGAAGATTTCCGTGGTGAATCCTCTGGGTTTGGGGTCCCTGTCCCAGAGCAAATCCCTGTGAGATTCAGAACATGGGGCACAGGGAACAGATTCCACCAGCTTCCAAGAGCAAGGACAGCAAAGCATTCGAGGTTGGAAACTGGCACAGCTCTGAGTGTCTTAGCAGCAACCCCGGGAGCCACACGTGACAACAAACCATCCAAAGAGAGATCGCGACTGACTTGATGCACCCGGTGTTCGCGGCCCCCAGAATCCATGTGTTGACATTCTATCCCCCACATCCCCCACGGTGCCGTGAACCAGAGGTGAGGGCTCAGGAGATTAGGTTTAGATCGGCCAGGATGGGACGTGTGCCCTTATGAGGAGAGGGGGAGACCCAAGCCTTCTGTCCCTGCCCTGTGAGGGCACAGTGAGAAGTCAGCAGCTGCCAGCCAAGGGGAGGCCCAGGAGACCAGCCTGCCACACTGTGACCTCGGGGTACACCTGCCGGCTCTGGAGAATGCTCCCCTGGGCTTACACCACCCTCAGGCTGTGGCACTGTCGCGTGGCATCCTGCACAGATGAACACACCAACCCAGAAATGGAAACCCTGGCACACTATCGGGCTGCAAAGACCCTTTACACACGCACGCACCGCCATGTTGCCCCTATGTCCTTTCCACAGTCAGGTAATGGAGCTCATGATCCATCTCAGGAGGGAAAGGACCGAGGAGAGGAGCCCAGGGGACTGAGTGGTCCAGCTCCTAATGGCAGGAAGGACCAGCCTCAGAGGACAACCAGCCCGAGGCCCAAGCAGCTGGGACATCAGGCCTGATGATCCCAGGTGACTTGGCCAGCCCATGAGGAAAGTTGGCTTGAAACTGGATAAATACAGATTACAAAGGAGTAAAAAAATGCAAAGCAATAGGAAGAGCTGTGTGGGAGAGACGATGGGCTCCATGCCAGGGCGAGGGCTGTCGTGAGCAGGAGGGGACAGTGCCCACTGCCCCTACCTTGTCATCATCCTCGCAGGTCATGACATTGGAGAAGGGGATCTCGGCCTTGAACATCTTCCGGCAGTGCATGAGCTGCACCAGCAGGTAGCACACGGTCTTGAACCGCATCCTCTTGGCGGGCTTGATGTCCGAGAGGATCAGGCCGGGGAAAATCTGTCAAACACAGAGGGCAAGAGAATGCCATCAGTGAGCTGCCTCTGGAGACACACGTGATGGTGAGAGGGCCCGGCACTGAGACCTCCTCATTGCAGGCCTGCTGCACACCGGGCCTCAGGAACCTGCTGGGAATGCAGCAGAGAACAAACCACAACCAGGTTCCAGATGGGTTTTCAAACCACCCCAGCTCTGAAACCAAGTGCTGCATCGAGTCCAGGTCAGTGTGGAGGGATGGTTTGGGACCCACGGCAGGAGGAGATCACTGGGGCTCGGAGTAAACACCACCTCACAGCTTCTGTCACCCATTAGGTCCCAGCATGTCCCGTTCTACACTCAAGGATAGAGGCACAGGAAAGACCACCAAGATGCAGCAACGTGGGACGCTAAGGAAGCTCCAGGATCAGCACTCCATTATTTTTCCTGCTGGTTACCCCTGGTCCTCAAGTGAACCCAAAGCTCTGGGACCCAGCAGCTCGGACCCCTCTCCTCTCTAAGAATGCTATGTCCCCTGCAGTGCTTGGGACACCCCACCTGCCCACTCCCCACCTCCACCCGCACTGGCCCCTACAGAGAGGTACAAAGATCCCAACTTCAGAAATGGCAGAACAGTTCTGGTTTCCCAGAATTCTACTTCCTCCCTGTCACCTGTGTGGGCTGTCTGTGTTCCGACCTCATGGCCCACCCTGCCCTCCAACCATAGGACCCACTGCCGACATGGCCCAGCCTGGGGTGGCATCCAGGACCTCTGGGTCCTCCGTCTCCTCACTGCCTGGACCTCTTCAAACCTGTGACACCCTTCACATTCCCTCTTCCTTGGCCAACCATTCCAAGTAGCCAGTCAAGGGCCTCCCTCTGAGGACCCTGACCCACACTCTTGTTCCTCAGGTGACACCAGCTGCACTCAGGGACCAGGCCCATCGCCAGCGAGACCCTCCCATCAACTCCTCCCCACATTCACCCCTCAGGGAAGCAGTGCCCACCTTGACCCGCCCTGCCCTGTAGACCTCACATCTGCTTCAGTATGGTCCCAGCCATCAGGCCCCTAAGTCAGATGGAGATGACTTACCCCAACTCCCACCCATGGTTGTGCCACCTCAGGCTGACTGCTACATCTTGGGGGCCCAGGAGAGCCCAGCCCAAGTAGGAGGTCAGAGTCACTGCCGGACACACAGCACAAGGAGTCTATAATCTCCCTCATGCCCACCCACTGTGTCCTGTCTGGGTGCTGGTCCCCAAGAACTGCACAACCTACATCAACCCAAGGCAAACATGGCGCCCCAGAACAGCAGACAGCAGGCGAGGAAGGCAAGGAAGTACAGGCTCCATCTTTAACAGTTTATTTTAAAGACATTTTCACTGGTAGCAGTGGCTACCTCTGGCTGGAATAAACCAGAGGGGCTCAGAGACCTTTCTGACTCAGATCTCATGTTTGGATGAAAATGTGACCCCAATCACCAGCTGGAGCTGCAGGTGGCTCCCTTCCTCTTCCGGTCTCTCTCCCCGCCCTGGGGTTTCCCAGGGCTGCTTCCCACCCCGTGCCTAACTCCAGAACATGGCTTTCCCCGAAGGTCTGTGTTTCAGTTTCATGAAACATTAGCTGGTGAGAGTCTAGCTCCTTTTTAGCATTTATGGTGGGGTCACTTCACTGCAGTGAACCATAAAAGACACTGGAGTGGAGTTAGACAGAAATGGGAATGGCGTGTGGGGTGTGAGTTCAGGGCTCAGCCAAGAGTCTCTGGGTTTTGGCTGAAAATGTGCAACTGAGCTGTGGGACCCCAGGATTTCATCAGCCTCTGAGCACTCAGGATTCTGGGTCACTGTTATGCTTTAGATCTAAAATGCCCCCCAAAGGCTCATGTGTGCAAACTGATTGAAAGGAATCCAGTAGCTGAATGTGCTACTAGGAGTAAGCCCTGCTTGGAGGAGGTAGGTGGTCAGGGCCAGGGCCTAGAAGGGTATTTCTTTATATTTTTGTCCTGAGTTCCTCCCTTCACACTCCGCTTCCAGGATGCCATGGGTTGAACCACTTTCCTCTGCCTGGTTCTTCCACCTTGCCTTTCCCACCTTGGAGCCAGCTCACCATGGACTGAGACTGTGAGCCAAAGTAAACCTCTCCTCCTCTAAGCTGTAGGTGTCAGGTATTTCATCCCCATCATGCGAAAGTGACCAATACCGAAAAACTGGTTCCAGAGAAGTGGGACATTCCTGCATCTGTACTAACCATGTGGTTTAGAAACCCTGAGAAGTAGTTTGTGGGAGGAGTTTGGAAAGGTTTGAAGATGCCTGCTAGAGAAGCCCCACAATGTTGTAAACAGAGCCTGATGGGTAATTCTGGCTGGAGCTTGGAAGACCAGAATGCTGATAGGAATGTGGACAGTAAAAGCCAAGCTCAGGAAGATTCCATGGGGAATAAGGACTCCTCTGGTAGCTGAACAGAGGCCATGCATGTAACACACTGGGAGAAAAATTTGTCTTCATTTTGCTCATGTCTTTAGACTTTGCAAGAGACTGAGATTAATGGACTAACTGATCTGATAGAAGAAATTTCAAGTCAGCCCAACAGTCAGGCAGTGATATGAGTACTGCTGGCTGCTCTTAGCCAAATATACAGTGAAAATCAGAAGCAAAAGGCAGAGCCAAAAGATATTAAAGTACCTGCAAAGATGGAGCAAAGAGCATGGTTACTGAAAAGATTAAGAAGCCAAGTACTCTGCATCAAGACAATAGGAAAGGTAGCTTGAAGGTATCTCAGAAGTCAGCAAGACCCCACCCTTTGCAGACTTAAAGGTGCAAAAGTATAAAGTTTTCATTTGAGAAGAAAGCCCCTGGACTCCTTGCTGGAGAAGGGCTGCCTAGGAAATTGGTTTCCTTAGATTCATTTCACAGTGCTCCATCATCCAGGCACTCAGAGGCCACTGCAGTCATGATCAAAGGGGGCCTTGCTACTGCTCCCACTGTTGGGCAGAATTTCATGTCATCCACATGGTGCTGGTTTTTCAGGCATGAGAAATGTAAGAGTTGTGGGGTCACAGAGGCTTCCACCCAGATTTCAGAAGGAAGCCTTGGAGGTCAGGCAGCATGCCCTTGAAAGGGTGATGTGTCAAAGTGTGAGAGTGAAGCTGAAAAACAGTGGAGACCCCCAGAAAACTGGAGACCCCAGTAAAGTCAATTGTGTGCTGAGAAAAGCCAGACAGTGAGCAAAGCCACCTTAGAAAAGAGGCCATGTGGGCCATAACCAGCAATACTATAGGAGCAGGGCTGCCCAAGCCCTTTGGAGCTCACAAATCACCACAACCTGCCTCAGCTGCTGGATGTGGAACTATAGGTTTAATGTTTGCCTTGCTGGGTTTTGGTCTTGCTTTGGTCTCATTCCTTTCTACCCCCCCTATTTCTCCCTTTTGGAATGGGAAAGTTTACCCTGTTGTGCCACTGTATGTTGGAAGTATTTGACTTTCTTTTTGATTCTTACAGGTGCTCCCAGCTAAGAGTTTACCTTGAGTCTCAGGAGGAACTTTTGATTTAGGATTTTCACCAATGCTGGAACTGCTCAGATTTTGGCAACACTTAGAAATGAACTAAATACATTTTGCATAATGAGATGGACATGAGTCTTTTAGAGGAGTCATGGGCAGAACGTTATAGTTTAAATTAAAAATGTCCCCCAAAAGTCTTGTTTGTTTTTAAGCCGCCTGGATCACGGGGGCACTGTACTCCTCAGTGGATTCATCCATGGCTGAGTTCTGCGGCTGAATGAGCTGTTAGGAGGTGGGGTCTGGTTAGAAGTGCCTCACAGGGGTAGTGACTTGGAAGAAAGTGTTCTTTTCTCTGGTGCTCCTTTTGCTCTCTGCTTCCTGGTCACTTTCCTCCACCGGGCCCTTCAACCATGACATGTCTGGCTTGAAGCTGGCAGCTGTGGACTGAATCAACCATGACCATAAAGTTCTCCTTTAAGTTGTTGGTCTCAGGTATTTTTTCCCAGAGACAGGAAGGCTAGTACAGTCATTAAATGGGGCTGTGGTTACAGGCTTGCAGAAGCTACAGGAACAAGAGGGAATGCAGTGGGGTGACAGTGAGAACATCATCTGACATCCACTCACAGGGTTGGCTTGTGCACTCCTGCCAAGCAAGGTCATGGGCAACCACAGGCCTTGAGGGTGTGGGCTCCTGACCTGGAGATTCGAGCCACACTGCCTACCTGGAGTAGTCAGGATGCCCAACGCTGCCTGCTCCCCACTGCCCCCAGAACTTCAGTGGAAGATGGCTGAGGTCAAAGGAAGCTGCTCCAGACCTCAGGCCCAGGAAAGCTTGGCTTCCAAAGGGCTTTTGACATAGCTGCTCAGTGAGGGAGAACTTTGGGAGAACCAGTCCCGTGAGCTGTGTGTAGACAGAGTCCCTTCAATGGTGTAGGACGGGGGCTACCTCACCTGAGACCTGCGCTCCACAAGAGCCCTGGGAGCACCTCTGTCACCCTCCATCATGACCAGATCACTTGTCCCTAGTCCTGGTGACCTTGAGTGCCCACAGGGGATGGCCACAGCCCCTGGGCACACAGCACCATTCAGTTCTCAGGGCCCCCATCCCTGGCTTCTGCTCTGGGAGGCTCCAGAGACAGGCAGGAGAACCAGGGTGGCCCAGCCTGAGGCAACCTCAGATCTCTGACTGGGTTCTCACCCCTCCTCTCTGCCTGGCTCCCCCTTCCCCTGCAAGAAGCAGAGCCTGGCCCCAGAGTTAGGGGACCTCCTTCCTGTCCCCACGAGTCCACAACTGGAGAAGCCGTGCTGGGAGGAGAAGAGAGACCAATGTATCTTTGGAGGTCCACCCAGGCCGGGCTGCCTAGGAACCAATCAAATGAGGGGGGCCCAGCAACCCACCTTTCTACGATGGGACGGCACAATAAAGAAGGTCTCGATGTTGTGAGCCTTCAGGAAGCTGTTCCTCTCATGGCCATGGCCCGGTTCCACCTCATAGTCCCCATTCAAGCAGGCAAGGGTTGTCTTTGTGATGTGAACCTTCCTGTGGGAAAAGGATGCGGAAATGTACTGGTGTCGCGCCCTGCCACTTGGGGACCACAGGTTCAGGGTCCCCACACGTCTGGACATCTGGGAAAGGGGAGGGAGGCTCCAGCTGACAGGCAGGCAAGTGAGAGAGGGCAGGACAGGAAGACAGAGAAGGGACAGTGGAGGCCAAAGAGGAAGAAGGTCAGAGGGAGGAGAGAGGAGAGAAAGGAAAAACTCCAGAGGATGCAACAGAGAAGACGGGCAAGGAAAAGAGGGGGCAGGGAGGAAGAGGCCCAGTCAGAATGGATCGGAAGCTGCACAGGTGCCCTCCATTGAGAGCACTCGGCCAGGCCCCACCCAGGCCCCAGCTTACCCCGGCAGCCCAGCAGCCTCCATGACATTGGCCAGGGTCACGTCATTGGACCACACGTCGTACTGCCACTTGCGCAGGCCCAGGACGCCACAGAGGACCCTGCCGGTGTGCAGCCCCACACGCATGTTCAGGTCCACCTCAGTGGCCTCAGCCACAGACCTGCAAGACAGGCGTGGGACGTGCTGAGCCTGTCCACATGGGCCCCCTGGAGCAGTGTGGGCTGTGGGTTCTCTGCTGGCTGCACACGGCCTGAGTGGTGCTGGGATGGGACAGGCACGTGCAGGTCCCTGGCTCGATGTGGACACCAGCCTCTCTGCCCACCCCGCCACCTCTTGGTGTCCATGCTGTCTTTCTGGCCCCTCCACACCTCCTCCTGAGCCCCCACCCACCCAAGGAAGACCCTAAAGGGAACCATATCCCACACAAACCTTGTCCCCAAGGGAAGGGATGCTGCAGAGGCAAACAGAGGCAAAGCAGCTTGGAGAGAACTGAGGACTGGGGGACCCACTGCGGTTTAGTCACTGCTGGTCCTCAAGCCTCAGTTTTCCTTAATATGAACCAGGCTTTGGCTATGTTAGCTCTGCCAATCCCTGAAACCATTTAAACTCTATCCCAGTGCAGCCTCCTGCTGACTCTAGCATGAAAATACCAAGGACGGCACCAAGAAAGACAGCCCACTCTCTGCCTCTATCACTGCCAGGCAGGTGATGATGACAGCAAAACGGCTCAGCCCTTGCTGTGTCCTCAGCCGGCTCCACGCTCTGCCCTGCTGCCCGCACCAGAGACTTCTCTCTGTGGATCGCACTGTGGATCGCGGATAACACTGGGGGTGCCAGGCTGGCTGACCCACCTGAGAAGTCGTGCCTGGCTCACCATTACCCCTACTTCCCCACTCTGGTCCCATCCCCACAGCCCCAGCCCACAGGGGACACACCAGCCATCCCAGGACAGCTGCCTGCTGGCTGCTACCGGAGGACAATACAGGAGGGTATCGTCAGACAGCTCCAAGCCCATCCTGGAAGTCCTGAAGTGAACTCAACTTCAGTAACCTCGGAAGTGTGTGTTCCATAGGTTTATGAAAGAAGTCACTTGGAAGTTAGGATACTAACATCTTTAATACCTGTTTATTTTCATACATTTTTGGATCTCATATTTTTATTTTATTTACTTATTTTAGTAGCAGGAGCAATGCTTCATTTATTTATTTATTTGCTTATTTTTGGTACCAGGGATTGAACTTGGGACCTTATGCTTGTGAGGCAGGCCCTGGAACCACTGAGCTAAATCCCCAGCCCTGGATCTCATATTTTAAATTTTTAACTTTTTTTCCTCACGTTTTTCAGTCTCCAATGAGAGACATTGAAACAAAATTCTAAAGTTAAAATGTCTTTTGAAGCAGGACATGGCACACGTCTGTAATCCCAGCAGCTTGGGAGACTGAGGCAGGAGGACTGCAAGTTCAAGCACAGCCTGGGCAACTTAGGGGCTCAGCAAGACTCTGCTTCAAAATAAAAAAACTAAAAGGCTGGGGATGCAGCTCAGTGTGAAGACCCTGGGTTCAATCCCCAGTACCATCCAAAAACAATTTTTTTAATGCAGAGAAGAAAATGCACAGGGGAAATGTAGACAAGGAACCTGCCAATGGTATTTTGGGGCATTTCTAGCATTTATACTTCTGCAGTCCTAAATGGGTAACAACAGCAGAACTGTAGGGACTCACACACCCCTGTCCTAGACCCCTTCGTGTCCCCTAAACCAGCCCTTCACCCTCTCAGAGCACCAGCCAGCCTCCACCAGGTGCCCTGTGCCCTCTACCACACTCTTTTCTTCAGTGCCTCCAGTAGATTCTGTCACCCAGCTCATGCAGCTGACGTCTGGCCTGCAGCATGCTGGATGGTCACTTCCCAAGCACCCAGTGTCCAGAGCTGTCACTGTGACTGCTCCACTCGGCCCCATTGCTGCTGGAATGTTCAAGTGGCTTCACCTAATTCCAGTGGAACCTCCAATTTCACTTCCAAGGAACCAGAATTTCCACAGCCTTTTGGCTTTCTTTGTCCTATTTGTCTTTCTTATTTGTGCACTCAGGCTGTCATGGTTTCCATCTAGAATGTCCCCCAAAAGACCCATACATTGGAGGAAGGCCTTTTGGAAGGTATTTAGATTATGGAGGCATTTATACTCATTGGTGGATTCATCTACTGATGAGTCCATAGCTGAATCTTGTTAGAAGGTGGGGCCTGGTTGGAGGATGTAGATCACTGGGGATGTGACCTAGAAGGGTGTATTTTTCCCCTGGACTCTCCTCCCTCCCACCAGCCTTCTCTCTGCTTCTGGCTGCAGTGGTCACCTAGAGCAGCTTTCCTCCACCAAGCCATCCACCATGATGTTTGTGCCCTGTACCTGCCTTCCATGCATAGACTGAACCCTCTGAAATCATGAGTCAAAATAAACCTCTCTTCCTTGAAGCTGCAGGTATTAGGTATTTTGTCCCAGGGATAAGAAAGTGACAAAGACACAGGCTCTCTTATTTATTTCAAGCATCTTCAGTGCAGACTTGGGCTCACTGTCCACAGGCCTGATCTCTACCTAGGTCTGGACACCAACAGCGAAGTCATAAGGAAGTAGCAGACTCCTAGGAACAGGGCCTCATCAGCTGCTGGCAGAAAGTGGCAGAGCTGAAGCCCAATCATGACTATACTGCAGTTCAAAAATGAAAGGACAGACAACTGTACTTTTGCTCATTTGCTCAGCAAACATCTACCAGGCTTACTCCTTCATCTACTGCTCAAAGCACTGTGGCAACAGCTGTGGTAAAGAAACGGTGGTCCCTCTGAAGGTCGACTCACTCTCCTCTAGGCAAAACTGACCACAGCAGTCTCAGCTCTACCCCAGAGTGGTGGAAAGTGGAGCAAATGGTTTCACACCCATGTGTTCAAACTCATGCCCCCAGCTCGGCTCTTCACTTCCTCTCCTGGCTGAAGCTTACCCATCTGTAAAAACACAAGTTCTCAGCTTGAAATATACAACTTCAGAGTTTCCAGATCCCCTAAAATATTAAGGAAAGCCATATGTGATGGACATAGATGCCAATGCACACCAGCACTCTCTACCCCACAGGAAGTCGATCCCTATGTTTATCCCCAGGTCTGGCTCTGAAAACTAGAACTCAATAACAAGATGAAATAATCCCCAAAGTTACTCTCTGTTATGGATCTAAACTGATGTCCAAAAGGCTTATGGGTACAGAGGTGGGGCCTTTAGAAGGTGATCAGATCATGAGGGCACTAATGATCAAGTGGGCTAATCTGTTGATGAGATCACAACTTATGGCACTATCGGAAGATGACAGCCCATCCAGGAGGCATCCAGGAGGTAGGGCCTAGATGAAGGGAGTAGATCATAGGGAATGACACTGGGGACTATATCTCATCCCCAGCCCCTGGCTGCCATGAGATGAGCAGCTTCCTTCCATCATACCTTCCACTATGATGGTTCTGCCTTGCCACAGGCCTACATGCAATGGAGCCAGCAGACCATAGACTGAAACCTCTGAAACCAAGAGCCGAAACCAAGAGCCAAAACAAAGCTCTCTTTCTTTAAGTTGCTTTATTTAAGTATTGTGTCACATAAAGCTAACCTACACACTCTCTGCTAAGAAAGTGAGGTCTTCTCCATGGCTCACACCCACAAGCCATCTTATGAAAAAGAAGGGAGTTGTTGGCGACAGACCAGGGGCTGGGAAACATGTCCCGTGAGTGTCCCTTCTCACAGGACTCAGCACTCCAGCCTTAGGGGACCACTGAGATCTGCTGACCACCATGGAGCCTGCGTGCTGTTCTCCCTGACTCAGAGTGGGTCAGGAGGAAAAGCATATGCCATTTTCTGCTAATGTAATTCAGGATAGCAAATGAAAAATACAGAGACCACAAGCAAGGCCATGCTTGGTTAAGTCCATCTAGCAAGATGGTGCCCTGATTGGGGGTCACAGGAACAACAGTGAGGTCCCTGCCTCCCTATCGCCCAGGCCAGCAGAGGTTCCCCTGAAGCAGACACATGTGGCCCCACTCCTACAGCTATGCAGGACTACATGCAGCAGAGGGGCTCCTTCTCCTCCAGGCTGGCTCCTCATGTCTGGGAGCTGATTCTTCCCTCCCACGTGGACCCACTTCATCTGAGAGCCCACTTAAGCCTCATAACCACTCAGAGATGCAAACATCATTTCATTTTACAGTGAAGAAAATAAAGGATTCAGAGAATATGAGAGCCAGGATCTGCAGGCTCATCTGCTTCCTGGGGACCAGAAGTTTCCAGTCCACTCAGGAAAAGAGGAGTTTTGGGCCAGCTGTGGGAGTGGAGGGGACCAAGCAGGAAAGGGATGGGCACAGATGTCATGGGGAGCACGGCACAGGGCAGGGGTGACTCAGGCCTCCACTGGCCTCCTGCACCTTCCATCCCAGAGTCCCGCATACACGCAGCTTGCAGAACAGAACCCAGCACCCAGAGATGGAGATCTGGGTGCCTCAGACAGGCCCTCCCAGCACCCAGAAGGTCAGAGGCAGAGCTCTGTCCCTGGGACCAGAGCATCACAGGATGATGCCCCATCCCACTGCCCCAGGCAGGTGGCTTCCGTCTGCAGCAGGAAGGAAGATGGGTCGGGAAGTTTCCCCACTGCCCCACAAGTTTGCTTCCTGGGCTGCTCTTGCCTCTGAAGATCTGTGTGGCCCTAGCAAGTCTCAAGGGCTCAATTTCTCCATCAAACGGGAGAGTGCACTTCACGACAGACACCCTGGCTCTGACCAAGGGCACCCTGACAGGGACAGAGTCCTGAGTGTCAGACCAGTCTCCCAGTTGTGTGCCTGGGGCAGTGGGGTTCAGCCCCACATCCTGAGGGCTCCTTTCAAAAGCCTGACCATGCACACAGCACTGTAATATACTGGTGTGTTGTCCACAGCAAGCAGTCCTGGTGTGGGCACTGCTGGCAAAACTGAGGTCAGAAGACCGAGCTGACAACTCAGAGGATTCCCATGGACACAGACATACATCCCAAACAAAATGTAAGGAGAGGTCACAGGAGCTTCACCTCCCAACTCGGGACCGTGGGACCCAACGCCCTCCCATGGCTGCCTAGCCTTGGACAGGTTCCTGGACAGCACGGCACTTACGTGATGGTGTCAATCATGTCGAGCCCCATCTCCACGCAGCAGTGGGCATGGTCGGTCTTGGGCTGGGTGAGGCCGGACACACAGTAGTAGCAGTCCCCGAGGATCTTGATGCGGCGACAGTGGTTCTCCTTCAGGGACAAAGTACACGGTCAGCTCTGCTTGCTCAGCACACTAGACGTGGTGACCACTAAGCATCGGGACATGTTACCATAGTCCTGGGCAGTCCTGGGGGTCATGGTCATCCGGCTGCTGGGACCACATTCATGCTGATGGTCCCCTCATTTCCCCGGATCCCTTTTCTCCTGGGTTGTCCATCCCTCCCGCCCTCTCCATGTGCCCAACATAAAAATCCTTTAAAGTCCAGGTGTAAGGCCACCCAGGAATAAGGGACACAAGCATATGGCTACCACTGTGGGGAATCTGCCCTGACCCACTAAATTCACCCAGTGCCCCCTGAAAACCAACACAGAGGGCCACGGGCAGCACAAGGTCCCCCAAGAAGGCCAAGCCAGGCCCAGCCAGGTGTCCCTACAGCTCTTGCTGTCCCCACCCTGGGGAACACTTCTAGAAGCCACTTCCTGCTGCTGAATGTCCATTCCCTCTTAGATACAAAGATACAAAGAAGAATCTGAGTCTCCTTTCTCTGAAATGCATGGGCTACACATATGTCAGAGCTTGGAATTTTTCAGATTTCAGAATACTTGCATAGACTTAACTGGTGGAGCACCCTTAACCTGAAACCTAAAATTAATTTCAAAATCTAAAAGATTTCGAGTGTCAACATGGTGCTCGAAGTTTCAGAATTTGGAATTTCCGGATCGGGTATCCTCAGCCTGTAACACCACTTCTGTGGGCGTCTCCCCCGCCCCCTGAATTCACACAGCGCCCCAGTGCAGAGGGTCATACGGTTCCTTTCAGGAAGCACAAACTCCCTCAGGAACAAGGAGGATCAAGAGAGGCAGCCCAGCACTGTTCTACCTGACATGTGACTTGCTTTTATTTCAAGGAAAGAACTAAATAGGAGTTCTAAAGCGTCTCCACCTCATATACCTTATATCACCAATAATGCAGCTTGAAACATGCATGAATGCATTTAGAGGAAACAGGAAGCCTATCTGCATGTTAGCATAAATAACATTTTATGAAAACTATGATATTTCCTCTGCCTAAAATACAGGAGTGGGAAGCTGTGCCATTCACGCCCATGTATCTCTAACTCCCATTTTCGGAGAGACAGCTGGATGCGAGGATCCACAGCAGCATTCACCCTTTGTGCTGGACTCGGGTCACAGACGCCAAGAAGCACACAGCTTCACAGGCATACAGCCAGACGAGAAAGGACCTCCACGACCCCAAGAGAGCCGCACAGAGACAGAGACCCTGAGCTGAGAGCACACCCATGGCTTATCTCTAACTCTGCCCTCCCGTTCTCTACCCCAATCTGATTTTCTCAAATGCAGCAAGTTAGCAAGTGCCAGGCTGAGCTGGGGGCCAACAAAGCGGCTGGATGGCCAGCCCACCCGGGACCATGCATGGACAGATCTCCCGGTCCTGGGCCGGTGGCTATCCCCAGCACTGTTCTGAGCTGTCCGGGCCTCAGTGCTGCAGGGGCCTTGAGGAAGTGACATCATGAGCTGTGCAGATGGCCCCATGCCTGCTCCCCACCCCGCAGAGGACTGTCACCATGGGCTGGCAAGGGTATCGCCTTTGATTACAATCCCACAGAGTTCTCCAGAGAAGGAGGCATCGACACAGGCTGTGACCAGGGACAGAGGTGCCTGGGGCCCCTCGAGACGACCCCTGCTCAGTGCTCAGTGCGGCTGAAGTGTGCGGAGTCCTCAGGAACCACGGGCAAAGCCGTCCAGTACTGACGACGGGCACGGTCCACACGGCTAGACTTCCCCGGCAGATGAGGGCTACGCGCTTTCTGCAGGAAGTGTCCCCATCAGCTGCCGTATAACAGCAGTGATCACCTGGAACCCAGTCCGTGCACACTCACAAATACACATACACATGCTTACACATACACACACAGGTGCACAATTCCAGCTCCTCCAGCGTCACACGTGAGTCTTCAGAAACTGCCTGAAATGCAGAGCCCAGGCCCCTCAAGGCTTCTCCTGGGCCCTCCCAGCTTTGGCTTCCTGTCTGACCTCCGCCACACTGACCCTGGGGAACACAATCCAGAACAAATATTGGGGACATTGCTTGGTTTTGTTTTTAATTTCAAAGGTTCTGGATTCTGTCAGCAAGCTTAAGAGATCAAAAAAGAAGTTTTGATTGCTTCTGACGATTTTGATTTTTAGACTCTTCTCCACGAATACAGAAAGCTGGCGCTTGAGTCACTGTGGGAAGCATGGTTGGGAGTGGGATGGTGGCCTTGTGGCTCTGTGTCCCACCAGGAAGAATAGAGAAGAGGAGGAGGAGGGTAGGAGGGGCTCTGAGAGGTTCAGCCCTTGGGACTCTGCTGTCCCTTCGTTTCCAATCACAGAAGCATCAGGACTGTCAGGCGAATGCCAGCAGAGAGCTCCCATGCTTGGCTTCCCAGGTATGGCCTGAAGGGTGTCAAGCAGGCTCAAGTGGCCCTGCCTGAGTAGGCACCCACAGGGGCTGGGGACCTAGGATAGCAGAGACCCCCCCACACACACACACACACCAGCACACTCTGACCCTGCCAGGACCCAGCAGGCAGAGAAGGCTGGGGACTTCAGAGGCTCAGTTCCATGCAGAAACGATAGAATTCAAAAATACCGTCCCACAAGTCCAGGAGGAAGCAAAGAGTAAGGGGCAAGAAGTTGCTGCTGACTTCAGAGCCCTAAGATGTGGAATCCAGAGAGCCAGGGGGACCCTGCACTACACCCCCGTTCTGAGAGAGCAGGTAACTAACTCCCTGGCTACCCCAACGGAAGGGGAAGGTAAGGAGGTCAACCTTGAATTAATTTCATTTGTGCTGCAAAGTGACTACATTCAAAACCCAAGCCACCCAAGTCCTGGTAACTTCGTAACATGAAAACTATTTCTCTGCTGCAGTGTGTAACCTGCTGGGTCCACTGCCCATGTGTAACCTGGTGGGTCTGCAAAGTTAAAAAGCAGAGCCCTGAAACGCACCCAGTGGCTGCTGCCAGAAGATAGGCGGAACCAGCAGTTCCAATGTGCATCATTCATTCCCCACAACTGCTTTTCTTGAGCCCCATGATGAGCTGGCCACTTTGCTAAGCACGGAATACACAAGGGCGAAAGAAAAGGAAGTAGCTGTGCTTCCACAGAGCTTCCCCAGGGGTAAGCAGGACAAAGGCGGAGAAGCTCAAACCCAGACCTCTGCAGACAGCTGTCCACCAGCAGGGACCACAGAGGCGGTCCTCTTCTGAAAGGACAAGAGGAGCCTGCCCTGTCATCAGGGGAACTCTCAGGAACACGGTCACACACACATTTGCTCCTGGGGACCAAGGAACAAAGGAGGAGTGAGCGAAACTCAGCGCCTGAGATGGGGTGTGAGGCAAAGTCAAAAGGGCCTTATTTCCTAGCCATGTTTTGTCTTTAGTGAGAGCTGCTTTGACCCTAGTTAGGCCACCTCCTTCCTTGGAAGCTTCTACAGGGACCTGCCTGCCGCCTTTGAGAGGTTTCGGGCTATACAAGCCTTCCTCTTTGCTTCCCCAGAACAGCAAGAAATTCTACCCTGTGTGCTGTCACTGTAAGGCTGGAGCACAAGCCCCAGAAAAAACCGACCCCAATGGTACGGGCTCCTTCACGATGTCTGTCTCAAGCTGAGCAAAATTACCAAGGGCTGAGTCAGTAGCAGGAAGAGCTGGTAACACCAAGCGCTACGTGAGGGGCTGGGATGACTGGTGACGGGAAGAGAGACGGCAGGCAGGGTGGGCGTCTTTCAGTGCATCTCCACTCAGGAGTTTTCAATATGGAACCCAACCCAGCAAGTATCTTATGTACCTGAAGATTAAAAACAGTGCTACCTAAAACTCCAAGCCAAATTGAAAGACACCCGCTACCACATCAGCAGCTTGACCACACGGAAGGAAAAAAATGATTCTGAGGGGCTTGAAACACGTATCTCACTGCAGATCGGGTGGGGAGGACAGAGAACCACAAATAAAGGTCCAAGTGCACTCGGCGGTCTCGTTCTTGATGGCAGTAGCGATTTTACTTTGAAGCTACTCCATACAGAAGAATGAAATAAGGGACAACACTACAGTATCTTTGTTCATTTTGTGGTGCTTTAACAGAATACTCGAGACTGGGTGACTTACAAAGAACAGAGGTTAACTTTTTACAGTTCTGGAGGCAGGAAGGCCAAGGTTGACGGGCCCACATTTGGTGAGGGCTTTTGTGCTCCTAGGGTGGGAGGTGGGAGAGCAAAAGAGTGTGTGTGTGTGTGTGTGTGTGTGTGTGTGTGTGAGAGAGAGAGAGAGAGAGAGAGAGGGAGGACTGGGCTTGGCCTTCTAACAACCCACTCTCTAGATAACTAACCCACTCTTGTAATAACAACACTAATCCATTCTCCAGGCCAGAGTGCTTCTGGCCTAATTACCCCTAGTGAGGCCTCTCCTCCCAACACTGTTGAATTAGGAAATAAGTTTCCAACACATGGACTTTGGATGACACATTCAAACCAGGGCACTATCATTACTATCTTCAGCATCAAAGAAAAGATACAAATATAACAATCAAGGCAGTGAAGTAAAGTAAATTGGAAATGTCAATATAAATTCGTAATTTATTTTCCTTTTTCTAATAAAATCTCCTATCTCTGTCCCCTAAAAAAGCCCTAGATCACTGACAACCCAGACTATGAGGTTATAAAGTAGGGTTCTGGGACAGTAGCAAGATGTGTCTGAGGCAGGACACCCTACTGTCCCTAAGATGGCCTCAGAGGCCAGGGGCCATCTCAAAAGAAGGAGAAGACAGCCCGAATGGGCCCCCACCTTCCAACATGGGAATCTGAGCACCAAAACTTAAAAAAAGATGGCAAGGGTCAGAGCAAAGCAAATTTTTTAAAGCCCACAAGTTTATAATAGGTCACTGGTTCATTACTTTGAAAATGGAAAGAATCGAGTATTCATTATTTTGAGGATAACCAAAGAGATCATGAGGAAACATTCTTCTTTTTAAAAAAAGAAATGATGAGCTAATAAATGCAGAAGTGATAGAACTAAACTCTGCCAATTTGCAAACCCCAATGAAATGTGAAATCCTGGCAGTGCTTACAAGGCAGCTGCTGTAGGACCACTGGGTGCAGTGCGGAGGGGCCATGAGGGGCGGGTCACACTGGCTACACCTGAGTCCTCAAGAACTTCAACCAGGCAAGGAGAGAAAAGCAGCTAGCGCCTCCTGCTGGGGAGAATCAACAGGAAGCTCACAACTGTAGGAGAACAGACAGATCCAAGAAGCATGCATGATCTACCAGTTCCTAGGCTGATGAGGTGGTGGGCGAGCATCCAACATGAAACCCAACACAAAGGATGGGTGTTATGGTTTGGATCCTAAATGTCCCCCCAAAAGCTCATGTGTTGAAGGCCAATGGCACTATTAGGAGCCAATGGAGCCTTGAGGAGGTGGGGCCTATTTGGAGGAAGCAGCTCAGTAGGGGTGGACCCTTGAGGATTTTATTAGGACCCGTTCTCCTTTTGTTTCCTGGCCAGCATGAGGCGAGCAGCCATGCTGTCCCCCGGCTCCTTCTGCCCAGGGGCAGACCTCAACGCTTCCTGTGTGACCTAGGGACTGTGACTGATAAACTTCAGTCAGTGATGTCGGCTTCTCTCTGTTCTCACTCACCTCACTGTATAAATTAAAATCCCACAGGACAATTGAGACACAGGTCCATCTCATTTATATCCTGATCGGACTAAACCAGTCATGTTTGAAAGAAGGGTAAGCGAGGCCCCGGCTGGGGGTCAGAAAAGACGCGGCTGTCACTGGTTTGGCTGGGGGGATAATGGTGGCGTGGTGGTGGCAGAAACATCCTCAGACGGCACAGCAGTGCACTGAAGGATTTATGCTTGAAGTAAGGTGGTGTCTAGGATCGGGGAAGAGATAAAGGGCAGGGACCAAAGAAGACTGGCCCCACTTAACCACCGTCCAAGTACAATATGGGTGTGTGGGGTCATTCCGAATTCTACCTCAGCACATGTTTGAATATTTTCATAACAAGCTTTAAAATGTCAGGCTCCTGACAAGGTGCAAGGTTGGCCCCTCGTATCCCTGTCAGACAGAAACATGCTGGTCCGCGGTGGGATTCGGCAGCTGTTTTCTGAATGAGCACCAGCGACCAGGGCTGCCCAGTCCCCGGCTAGTGGCCTGGGGTCTCAACGTCCCTCCGGCTGTGGGCGGCGCTCAAACTGCCCCAACTGACCCGCCTGCCTCTCACCCCGGCCTCACCTCCCCGCCTCCCGCTAAGCAGCTCCCCTCAACTCAACATTAAGCCAGCTTCTCCTCCTCCATCTTCCCGCTCTGTGACACCAACATGCACGAGGGGCGCCATGTTGTCCTCACCCTTCCACTCCAGGGGGAAATTCCACCCCATCCTCCCCCGGGAGCACCATCCCCCATGAAGGGCGCCAGGTTCTCCTCCCCCACTTCCTGTCTACCTGGCCCCACCTCCCAGGGATGCCCCGCCCCGCCCCGCCTGTGCGGGCAGTGCCTGTGGCGGGCGTCCCCTCTGCACGCTGATCGCACCCTGTTAAGCGTCTTATTGGGTCAGGTCCTGCTTTTGCACAACTGCAGAACCCAGAGTTGCCCCTCCTGAGCCGCCAGCGCCTAGACAGTCCTCTCCCCCATCCCTCTACCCCAGCCAGCTCAGTGCTTGGCCAGGGTGTGCCACGCACGTCTGTTCCTAGGACACCATCGACAGTGAAGACAGCTCGATCACAAACTCCAGGCCTCCACCAGAGCCAGGGGTTGAGCAGCTCATAGAACAGGGGTGTTGGAGCGGGGCGGGGGGGGGGGGGGG